CAAAGGCTCGGAAAGTCAAGAGCACAACAAGCTAGGCTGGTAAGCTCTCGACAGAGCCGCTGAAAACCACTCGAATCACGACTCCAATACTCGAAAACGACTCGCACGGGGTGGACAGAAGCTACTAGCTACTAGGAAAAGCCGTCCTCAAAGCAAATCCCAACAGAGAGAAGCCCAAAACCGCCGGTAGACACGAGTTGAAGCGCGATGGTTAGTCCAAGAGGAGTCTTGGAAAATGCGAGACCAAGCAAGGCGGAGAGAAGCCACACCACAGCAACGCCGAGAGAAGCCCGCACCGCCACCAGAAACGCCAGGAAGAAGGAGATCTAGAAGTAGATCTACAAGTGAGAACTTGCCCCGCCGCCAGAGAGGCGAGTCGCTAGGGAAGAAACCAAGCCTCCGCCTTGATCTGTCGCCGTCTACAGGCAATAGAGGCAGAGAGCATGAGATTCCGACCACCGAGAACGGCCGACACGCACGGCGGACCCTCAACTCTCACCGCGAGAAACAGGACCGAAACAAGACTTCCGAATCTTCAAGTGCACAAATGAAATCGGACAGAAAGAACCTAGAGCCCTCTCACGGCACCGGTCGCAACCGGTCACCGGAGAGGCAAGCAATTGACGGCGACTGTGTTGTTCTCGGTGAGAAGAATGGAGGAAAGTCGCCCACGCGTGCTACTCACGCGCCCGACTTTTTGGTTTTTTTAAATCCAACTTGTTATTTTTGTTATATACGTTATTCAAAATTTCTCCATAGACATACATATATGTAAAAAAATTAACGATCCTTTATTGGAAAACTTTATTGAATATAATCCCATGGCATGTTTAAATTTCTTTTTAATACAATCGGCGAATATTCGTGTTACACACAAGGTTTTTTTCATGTTTTTATTTTTTGTTTCATAACTTTACTACTGAAAAGGATGAATGAGATACATTTTTAAAAGGTTTGCTTCTTCTAATTTTCTTCTTATTATCTTTTTGACGTCACCACTCCCTACTAGTTTCCTCTTATATTCAATGAAAAAGCATTTTCTCTTTTCTTTAACAAATGGAGTAACGAGTATATATTATTTGCACGTTTTCCCTATCTAATAACAAGGGTAATTCCGTAAATCTCACTTCAACAACTAATAATTAATGTGCCGGAATCGCAACTTCTTAAACTTCTACCAATACTAATACGCCACGTCATCATCCTTCCCTGTCGGAGACGTTTCATTCTCTGGCCTTAGTGGCATTTTCCGTAAATAAACTCGTAATCTGTGGGCGAAACCTTTGTGTCGTGTTTATAGTCCACCGCGAAAACTCTCCACATTCTCTCTATTATTCGCCACAACAAGAAAAACCAAAACCCAATTTTGTTACCTCTTTCCTCAATCCTTAAGTCAAAAGCTCCAATTTTTTTTTTGGGTTTTTGATTATCTTCAATCGGAATTTCAGGTAAGAAAAAAAATCCGATCTTTAATCATCAAATCACCAACTGGGTCAACTCTATGATCAATCGATAAATTTCGTTTGATTTGGTTTTGCTTATTGTATCTTTGATTCTAGGTGGAGATATGGGTTCTGAAGGACCAAAATCAATAACGATTCATGTTACTGGTTTCAAGAAATTTCTTGGGGTTTCTGAGAATCCTACTGAGAAAATAGTTACTAATCTGAAATCTTATGTGGAGAAACGAGGTTTGCCTTCTGGGTTGTGTCTTGGTAGCTGTAGTGTTCTTGATACTGCAGGGGAAGGCGCAAAGTCTAAGCTTTATGAGGTTTTGGAGTCTAGTGTTGTGTCTGGAGATAAGAACAACAATGGAACTGTTGTCTGGGTAAGTCTTTTACTTATTTCTTAATCATCATTATCCTCTGTTTCTTGAATTCATCAATTAGTTTATTTAATCTACTTGACTGTTTATAGATTTGGACTATAGCTTAAGTTCTAGTCTTACTAGGATTTAGATTATCTTCTTGCCTTAGGATTTTGTGTTTTTTTTTGTTTTCTTTTCCTTTTTAGTTTGGGAATTGTATTTTCATATATATAAGGTTTTAAGCTCTTGTTGGTGATCATCATTCAAAAAGTTAAGAGAGCTTTAGTGTAGTCGGTTTCACCGAGGGAAAGAGAGTTGTCTCTTTGGGAGCTTTGCTTAATTAAAGCGTTTGGACTTTGAATTGTGTTCGACCTGCAACAAACAATCTATAAGAGATGACATCAATAGTAACTACGTGAACAGAGGGAGGTTTGGATGGGTTAGAGAAGAACCAAGACGATACTAGAAAGATTAGTATCGTATCTGCGGCGAATTTAGCGTAAAATACATCTGCTACATTCCTAGAGTTACCACTTTTAGCTTTGGGAAGCATTGGTATGCCAAACATTATGAAATTCAAAGGAACAGTGGATGGAGAGGAAGTCATTATTGTAGTGGATAGTGGAACAAGTATGAACTTCGTAGCTTCTTGGCTGACTGATAAGCTTGACAGAACTATTGAACCAACACCCCGTTTTCGTGCTCGTTTAGGTGATAGACGTATTCAATCTTTCCAAGGGAAGTACTCCAACTTGCCTATCATAATTGGATCAGAAACTCTCTCTGTTGATTGTTTCTTATTTCCATTGGGAGGAGCCGATATCATATTTGGTGGTCAATGGTTGGCTTCCCTCGGAGATGTTATTGCAAACTGGAAAAGCATGTTTTTAAGCATCACTCAAGATGGCCGCAATATACGATTGAATGGTGACCCTACGTTAGCTCGTGGACCTAAAAAATTGCATGAAGTTGATCATTGCGCTTGGTTATGGACGGTGTGAGACAATTTATAGACTTAGAACTTTGATGGAGTGTGATTCAGCTGTGTTTCCTTTTCCATCTTCAGTGATGAGTCGGTCTTCGTGTTTGCCTATATTCGTGGTTCTTGATTTGTTTTTCTTTTTGGTTACATTTGGTTGTTAAGGTCTTAGACAATTTAGGTTTTGTAAGAACTTCTAACTTCGAAATAAAAAAAACTTGTTTCTTTTCGTGTGATTTGAGTGTTTTCCTGATGGTTTAAAGATCTAAAAACGAAAGCTTCTCTTGATTCTGGTGCTTCTTTAGCTTCATCTCGGGGTGAATAGCGGAGCGACAAAATTCGCCATTGAAAGACAGGCAGTGAACGAAGCTCATTTCCGTTGTCCTGATGAATTGGGCTGGCAACCACAGGTAAAACAATAGTAATTGCTTATGAATCCACTCCAATATGATCCGCAATGCAATCCGAGAAATACACTAATTGCGCCTCTCTTTAACGATTCATTACACAGCGGCTTCCCATAGTTGTTGAAGATGGAAGCATTTCAAAGGCAAAAGAGGTAACATACACAAAACTCACGTTTTTTTTGCTTCCTGCAAGACATTCTAATTTGGATATGAATATTGTTTTTTTGTATGTCCTGAAGACTTCATGCTCGACCGAGTCCATTGTCCAGTTATTAAAGAAGAAAGGCTTCGAGGTTGTTCAATCAGACGATGCTGGACGTTTTGTATGCAACTACGTGTACTATCACTCTCTAAGGTTCGCAGAGCAAAAGGGACACAAGTCTCTATTCGTTCACGTTCCTCTCTTCTCCAAAATCGATGAAGATACTCAAATGCAGTTCGTGGCCTCACTCTTGGAGGCAATTGCAGCTACTTGCTAGTGTTTTTAATCCACTAAAGCCAAATATTGTAAGTATACTCTATGTATATGATCCATTTGTCTTTCTTCGAAGCTCTTTGTGTTCTTTTGTTGGAGGGTTTGGGGATATAAAAAGACGATTGCTTTTGGCTCTCAAAGATCCTTTGTGATTGTCTCTGTAATAAAAAGAAGTCTCTCTATTCATAATGTTAAAAACTTAAAAAGGTTGGATTTTTATGTTTTTCTCTGTGGATGTTTCCTAATTTGGTTTTGGTTTGACCAAAAAAATATCAATTTTGGTTAACTTTGCTGCCTTTCGGTTCATTTTGGTTAATTTAGCATAAATTTCGATAATTTTGTTGTAATATTGGTAATTGCAGTTTAATTTAACGTAATTCTTTTTGTAATTTCGGTTTAGTGGGTCGGAACCGAACCGGTTACCGAATTTTCTTTGCTTCCTATTGCCGATGAGTTTTCAGCTCAAAAGTCAAAACCGAATTGGTCTATTTTCGGTTCGGTTTAGTTCGTCCAATTCTGTTCGGTCCGAATGCCCAGGCTTTGTATAAACCGGTTTCTTGTGAAGACAGTGATACTTGTTGTGCAAGGAGCAAAAGAACGCATTCAATTTTTTGTCCTTTAATCTTGATTCAAATGCGAAATAGGACTTGTAGAGAGATTACTTTCTTTATACTTTTGTATTGTAAGCTTGATTCAAAGTGTGGGGGACATGCGAGGGCCTCAAGCTTTATACTTTCTTCGCAGAACAACGACGTTAGCTCAACATTTGTGTCCTCTTGCACCGCTTATTGTGACGCCTCGTATGGAGTTTAGTTCGTTTCTTGAAGAAAATCCTAGCGACGTCGTTTATACCCATAACCGTAAAATTGATGAATTGATTAAATCCGGGAACTTGGTATCTGCACATGAAGTGTTCGATGGAATGTCTGTACGAGATGTTGTTACTTATAATCTTCTTATTTCTGGGAATAGTCGAAATGGGTGTTCTTTAAGAGCTATTGAAATTTATGCGGAGATGGTTTCTTGTGGTCTTAGAGAAAGCGCTTCTACGTTTCCTTCTGTTCTGAGTGTATGTAGTGATGAATTGTTCTGTAGAGAAGGGATTCAAGTTCATTGTAGGGTGATTTCTCTTGGGTTTGGATGTAATATGTTCGTAAGGTCTGCACTTGTGGGTCTTTATGCGTCATTTTGGCTTTTTGATGTTGCGTTGAAGTTGTTTGATGAAATGCCTGAGAGAAATTTAGCTGTCTGCAATTTGCTGTTGAAATGTTTTTGCGAGACCGGAGAGTCCAAGCGATTGTTTGGAGTGTACTGTAGGATGGAACTTGAAGGTGTAGCTAAAAATGGGTTAACTTATTGTTATTTGCTCCGCGGTTGTTCTAATGATCAGTTGTTATATGTAGGGAAGCAATTGCATTCCCTAGTGATTAAATCTGGATGGGACATTTCTAATATATTTGTTGCTAATGCGCTTGTGGACTATTACTCTGCTTGTGGCGATTTATCCGGTTCTATAAAATCATTCAATGTTGTCCCAGAAAAAGATGTAATATCGTGGAACTCGATTGTTTCCGTGTGTGCAGATTACGGGTCTGTGCTTGATTCTCTTGGTTTGTTTAGCAAGATGCAGTTTTGGGGGAAGAGACCTTCGATACGGTCATTCATGTCATTTTTGAATGTCTGTAGCAGAAACAGTGATATTCAGTCCGGGAAGCAGATCCATTGCTATGTTCTCAAAATGGGTTTCGACGTTTCAAGTCTTCTTGTCCAGTCTTCTCTTATCGACATGTATGGCAAATGCAATGAGATTGAGAGTTCTGTCTTGGCTTACCAGAGTTTGCCTTGCCTGACTCTGGAGTGCTGTAACTCGCTGATGACTTCTCTGATGCACTGTGGCATCACAAAAGATATCATTGAGATGTTTGGTTTGATGGTTGATGAAGGAACTGGAATCGACGAAGTCACTCTTTCTACTGTCCTCAAGGCTTTATCACTCTCTTTACCAGAAAGTTTACATAGCTGCACGCTTGTACATTGTTGTGCCATCAAATCTGGTTATGCAGCTGATGTTGCAGTCTCATGCTCTCTAATTGATACGTATTCAAAGAGCGGTCAGAATGAAGTATCTCGGAAGGTGTTTGATGAGCTTGATTCACCTAACATCTTCTGCTTGACTTCGATCATCAATGGCTATGCTAGAAATGGCATGGGAAGAGACTGTGTTGAGATGCTGAGAGAGATGGATCAAAAGAATCTCATACCAGACGAAGTTACAATATTGTCGGTACTATCAGGGTGCAGTCATTCTGGGCTTGTTGAAGAAGGCGAGCTGATTTTTGACTCATTGGAATTGAAGTACGGAATTTCTCCAGGAAGGAAACTCTATGCATGCTTGGTGGATTTGCTAGGACGTGCTGGTTTGGTGGAAAAAGCCGAAAGGCTACTTCTTCAGGCACATGGAGATGCAGACTGCATCGCGTGGAGCTCACTACTGCAGAGCTGCAGGATCCATAGAAACGAAAGAATAGGAAGAAGAGCAGCAGAGGTCTTGATGGATCTTGAACCTGAGAATTTCGCTGTTTACATTCAAGTTTCGAAATTCTACTTTGAGATCGGTGATTTTGAAATCTCCAGACAAATCAGAGAGATCGCTGCTTCACGAGAGCTCATGAGGGAGATTGGTTACAGTTCAGTTGTTGTGAAAAACTGAGAACGCAAAATTGAAGGACAAAGTTTTTGCTTCAGCTTCATGAAAAAGAAGAGCGAACCCAATTGCAAAGTTCACACCAATTTTCAACATATCTGAAATGGGTTCTTTCGCTTGAAGCCAGACCACATGATTGTCACTCTACAGAGACAACACAAGAGGAATATGAGATTTTTTATTTGCCAGGTTGGTGCAACAAACTCATTGACCTCGTCTATTTTTGTCTTTTAATATACTATAGAATATAGAATGTCTGTTCGTCGTTCTTCAAAACCACATCATGTCTAAAAATCTAAAAGTAGTATCTTGAGGTAAAAAAGCTGAGAGATTTTCAGGGACTTCTTTCTTGTTTTGTTTTTATTTCAAATCTCATGGGACAATCATTTTTATCATGAACAAGTTGACCACAAAGGTTTTGTGTAGAGGTTTTGGAGTAAAGCAAAGAAGTGAAAAAGCACATGACTTGTGCTTTAAGCATAGATATATAGAAAAACAAGGCCTTATCTTCATGTACTTTTAAGCCAAGCCAATAAACCCCATTAATTACTCTGCATATAAATTCAACCCGAAACCAATCATCTCTAGCAAAGAAATAAGGAATCTCATTAGTAGGCACTGGATTTAATAATCAAACAGAAATCTTCTCTTGGCGTTTTGATTGAGGCATATGATGGATAAGCTCTTCATTGTTTCCCTTATTGGTCTGTTAATGGTAGCTTCAGGGAAAATGGTGTACACCGATCTCGACATCCTTGAGGAGCTTGAGAAATTTGATGTATTGTTAGATGATGATGAAACAAAGCTCTTTGATTTGCCTTCATTCACAAGCCGACATTCTGGTAAGAATCTGGTGAATGTGGATACATTCGGTGCAGCTGGAGATGGAGTTTCTGATGATACTCAGGTGCGTTTGAGAACATTTTGCTTATTCATGAGAATGATAGGTTGTCTAGATACCTAAAACGCTATCAGTTCTATGTCTGGAATAAAACATATCCCTAGACTTGAAATTATGGAGAAAATGTATACACAAGTTGTGTGCATTGTAGACTTAAAATATTGATTTTGCTTGGTTTAATTCAATCCCTTCCCAAATCAGGCATTCATAAGCGCATGGAGCAAAGCCTGCGGTACATCAAAATCTGTGTTTCTGGTTCCAGAAGGACGGCGATATTTAGTAAATGCAACAAAGTTCAATGGTCCATGTGAACAAAAGTTGATCATTCAGGTCAAGTTTAACATTTTAAGTCCTGAGTTTTTGTTATCTTCAGTAGGAAAACAGAAACTAGACCATAGCAATATATACAAGTATGTCGTATACAATTCAGAAACTTTGTCTTTGTTTACAGATTGACGGAACAATAGTGGCACCAGATGAGCCCAGCAATTGGGATTCAAAGTTCCAAAGAATTTGGCTCGAGTTTTCAAAACTCAAAGGGGTCGTGTTTCAAGGCAAAGGAGTTATAGATGGTTCAGGCAGCAAATGGTGGGCTGCTTCTTGCAAGAAAAACAAGTCTAATGTAAAATCTTCTATACCCAAATTTAGCTTTCTTTATCACAAAAATAAATGCCTCGAGATTTAGAATAGAATCTTACACATCTTTCTTTCTCTCTTACAGCCTTGCAAAAGCGCACCAACGGTAAGAAACCATTGCCTTCATCATTTAGCAGTTATTCCTTACAAATGGCTGCTTATTTAGTTTGGTTCAACAATCTGTTTTTGTTTTCCCCTGCAGGCACTAACTATAGAATCTAGTTCGGGTGTGAAAGTAAGTGGCTTGACGATCCAGAACAGCCAGCAGATGAATTTCATCATAGCAAGATCAGATTCAGTTCGAGTCTCCAAGGTTATGGTCTCTTCTCCAGGAGATAGTCCCAACACTGATGGCATCCATATCACTGGATCTACCAATGTTATCCTTCAAGACTGTAAAATCGGCACAGGTAAACTTAATCAAATCTTTACTGAAATCAAATATTTAAACTTCAACTATGGATGTCATAACCTCTTAAGATTGTGGATTAAACAGGGGATGATTGTGTCTCCATTGTGAATGCGAGCTCGAATATAAAGATGAAGAACATCTATTGTGGACCTGGACATGGAATCAGGTACAGCTTCAAATTTCTAGATTACATCTGTTTCAAATCAAATTATAATTATTTGGAATTTCTTGCAGCATTGGAAGTCTTGGGAAGGATAACACGACAGGCATTGTAACTCAAGTTGTGTTGGACACTGCCTTATTGAGAGAGACAACTAATGGACTCAGAATCAAAACCTATCAGGTAAAAAAGCTTCAGTCTTTAAGAAAAACTTCGATTTGGCTAGATCGAGAACAATTTTATTTCATTGTTTATCTTTCGAACAGGGAGGTTCTGGTTACGTTCAAGGTATTCGATTCACAAACGTAGAGATGCAAGATGTCGCAAACCCGATACTCATTGATCAGTTCTACTGTGATTCTCCAACTACATGTCAAAACCAGGTTTCCTTACAATATAGCAATATAACCTCGTGATTGCGATTATTCCATCAAAACGAAACTCAAAGATGTAAACTCAGTTATGTTTTCTTTCTTTATTTGGTAAAATGCAGACCTCAGCGGTTAAAATCAGCCAGATAATGTACCGGAACATAACTGGGACAACAAAAAGTGAGAAGGCCATCAAATTTGCGTGCAGCGACACAGTCCCTTGCAGCCACATTGTCCTCAACAATGTGAATCTTGAAGGCAAAGACGGTCAAGTCGAAGCGTACTGTAACTCAGCTGAAGGATTTGGGTATGGAGTGATTCATCCGTCGGCGGATTGTCTCTACTCGCACGACGACAAGGGCTTGGACCAGACTCGCAAGTCAGAGGATGCCGAGACTGGCCACGACGAGCTTTGATGGTGATGTTCAAAGTGTTGTTGTAGTGAGGGATGATATGTAAAATAGTTTTATGAAGCATATGATACAGTAAAATGATTTTATTTTTGTTTTTATAATCAACCATAATTAAGGTTGTTGTTAACAGCATTTGTCCACCTTTTGTATCAAATGATTTTTTTTTAAAAAAAATTTTCATACAAAGTCATATGCAAGTATTCTTCAACATAAAAATTTAAATTTGAAGTTTATTGTTTATGAAATTTAAATACTTATTGATATTTAAGATTAGAGGAACAAGAACAACACATCACATGGGGACTCCAAAGGTCGCAATTGATATGAATTGTTTGGCACGTGTTAAAAACTCTTCCCTTTTTTCACAATTATTATTTTCTATTTTTTTGTCAAACAATTATCTTCTAATTAAAAGTCCCAATTTGTGTGTAGCTGTAAACATCAATGACCAATGCCAACCCATTTATTTACTCTTTCAATAACACAACTCAACAACTACATCACCTAAGAATAAGATCTAGTCTTGGCTTGCAATTTGCCTGTAATGTGAAATCAAAATGACCAATTTATATCATTATATGGTATATAATAACAACAATATTTTTTAAATTCTTTCATAAGGTATAGAATTATAAGTGAATTGGTTTTGTCTATATCCAGAAGAATGCAAATAAAGAAATAATTTCCTTAAAACGAAGAAATAACCAAACTATACGGTATAATGGACCCGGGGAATCTAAGACGTGCGAGAATAATGATTTTGTTTACCATGTTCATTCCATTTCCACCTTATTCCAAATTATTTTGAACAAGTAGATTAGAGACTAGAGAGAGTGCAAGTTGTGAAGAAGCACAACGTTTTTGGGTTTTCTCTCTAAAAAAACAAACTAAGGAGATCTCTATAGTTGTGGCAGAGAAAAAAAGCTTCTAAGGTAAAATCACAAAAAGCTTCACTTTTCAACATCTTATTGACTCAGATTGCATTAGCTTTCAAGTTCTGATAAATTGTCTCAAAAAGGTTTATGACTTTTAGAATTACTCTTTTTGATATATAAGTACATTGTTCAATTGATAATGCAGATCCAGATCATTGTTTTTTTTTTCAGCTTTTGAAACTGAACATTCACAAATCCAACCCAACATCATATTTCTTTGTGACATATCTTTTTTCCTTTAGTAGGTTAATGAACACCATTGTTTTTTTTTTTTTGTTTTCTTTATGATTTTCAAGTAATACAAGTACAAATAAAGCTTCATCTACAATGTTTTCAGTTTGAAAAGAAGCCAAAAAAACAATTTTGTTACAAAAGTCATTAGAGAATTAACAAAGTTTTGAAGCAGAGGAGGAATGTTCAATGTTAGAAAAATAGGACCAAAAGTCAACATCACTTTTAACAAAAAAAAAAAAAAAAAAAAAAACGAGTACAACTGTAACATTTACTTCGACTTTATCTACGAGAGGATTGAGCAAGTGGGATGCAATTGACTAAAGATGCATCACAAACCAACACAAATCATAGCTCATAGTTATAATATATAAGACTAATCATTTCCTTTTCTCTTAGAGTTGTTTAGTTTTAGACTATAATAATAAGAGATGAGAGAATGTGATGCTAGTAACTCTTATTTAAATGAGGAATATAAACAAGATCTGGTCCTGACATTGTTATGAATCTTCAAATTCAGGACACAAACTAAGATCTCTAGTAGAAGAGAAGAAACATTTCCTCCATGTTTAAGTTTTGAGATTCTGGAGAGTTTCAAGTCCTGTGGAGAAAAATGTCACCATTGATGAAGTTCTTTCTCTTTCTCTATGATTATCTTTCACCTTCCTCTTGGTTTCTGGTAAATCATTTCTTCTTTCTCTCTGTTTCACATACTCTTGATGATTCTTGATTTCACATAATATTTAATCCTTTGTTTTTTTTTTGGTTTTTTGGGGTTTAAGGTCCAAAGACACAACTTAGCAGCATTATCAGATACTACAGATGATGTTGTGAGAAGTGGCATAATTGGAGAGATTATATACATTTGGAAGCAGACAAGAATCTTTGTCTTTATACCAATCTTGAAATGTTTAGTGACAATATGTTTGGTCATGTCCCTTTTGTTGTTCATAGAAAGAGTTTATATGAGCATAGTTGTAGTGTTTGTGAAATTACTTAGAAGAACACCTGAGAAAGTACACAAATGGGAAGCTATAAACGACGATGATCTTGAGCTGGCCAACACAAACTACCCAATGGTTCTCATTCAGATCCCAATGTACAATGAAAAAGAGGTAATTCTCATTTTGTTGTAACCAAGAAAATTTTAAATTAATATACATATATTATATATACAATCCTAATGAAGGAACCATATTCTTGTTGTTGTCACAGGTTTGTCAGTTGTCTATAGGAGCAGCATGTAGACTTTCTTGGCCATTGGATCGAATGATAATTCAAGTTCTTGATGATTCCACAGATCCAGCTAGTAAGGTCCTTTGTTCAATTTTTTGCCCCCCAAGAATCTTTGGTTTGTGTATGATTGGTTCTTCATCCATGGAACGTTTTTGACATATGAAATGATTTGGAAAAGACAGGAATTGGTGAATGCGGAATGCGATAAATGGGCGAGAAAAGGTATAAACATAATGTCAGAGATTCGAGACAACAGAATCGGATACAAAGCAGGAGCATTAAAGGCAGGAATGATGCACAACTATGTGAAACAATGCGAGTTTGTCGCCATTTTCGATGCTGATTTTCAGCCTGATCCTGACTTTCTTGAACGAACCATTCCTTTTCTTATTCACAACCATGAAATCTCTCTGGTCCAATGCCGTTGGAAGTTTGGTAAAGTCATATCTTTTTGAAAAATAATAGTTATTAAGTTAAGTCAAATTGGCTAATGGAGAGAATGTGTTACATGTAGTGAATGCAAACGAGTGCTTAATGACAAGAATGCAAGAGATGTCACTAAACTACCATTTTGTGGCTGAGCAAGAATCTGGATCGTCAATCCATGCTTTCTTTGGATTCAATGGAACCGCAGGTGTTTGGAGAATCGCAGCTTTAAACGAAGCTGGAGGATGGAAAGATCGAACAACCGTAGAAGACATGGATTTAGCTGTAAGAGCTTGTCTTCATGGTTGGAAATTTGTCTATGTCCATGACGTCGAGGTACTACTACTATAACCCTTTTAGACTTCAATCACTATATAACCAAGTACTTAAAAGATTTCATTCAAGACATTTATTTTTCTAAAATTCAGGTGAAAAATGAATTGCCAAGTACATTCAAAGCATACCGGTTTCAGCAACATAGATGGTCTTGTGGACCAGCTAATTTGTGGAGGAAGATGACAATGGAAATCTTACAGAACAAGAAAGTGTCGGCGTGGAAGAAATTGTATCTCATATACAATTTCTTCTTCATAAGGAAGATTGTAGTACACATCTTCACATTTGTCTTCTACTGTCTGATTTTACCAACAACTGTGCTATTCCCTGAGCTCCAAGTTCCTAAATGGGCAACTGTTTATTTTCCTACTACAATCACTATCCTTAACGCAATCGCAACACCTCGGTAACATCTCTTTCTACTCACTCTACTCCATATAAAAACTCTGTTTTCTCATCTCTTAGTTTTGATCAATAAATGTTTTCTCAAGTGCAGATCACTCCATCTTCTAGTCTTTTGGATCTTATTCGAGAATGTAATGTCGATGCATCGCACAAAAGCGACTTTCATCGGTTTACTAGAGGCAGGACGGGTTAACGAATGGGTTGTTACTGAAAAATTAGGTGACACCCTCAAGTCTAAGTTAATAGCTACAACTAAGCTTTATACCAGATTTGGACAAAGGTACTCTTAACTACAAAACACACACAATTACAATTTTTAAGCATTTTGAAATGTTGTAAGTAATTTTAGTTAACATTTTGCAGAATCAACTGGAGAGAACTCGTTGTTGGATTATATATATTCTTCTGCGGATGCTACGATTTCGCGTATGGAGGATCATACTTCTATGTCTATCTGTTTTTACAGTCTTGTGCATTTTTTGTTGCTGGAGTTGGTTATATTGGCACATTTGTTCCATCTGTTTAGATTAGACTTTTGTATTTGAGAGCAAATGTGTTTTTGCTATTGATTAGACCCAATTAGAGATTGGATCTTGGTTAAACCAAGTTAACTCTTCCAATATTCATACTCAAAAGTGTATTTCTTATGTTGTTATAATCCAAAAACGTGCTTATCGATCGTTATACAAACGAACTTATCGTTAATCAATCATACATAACATTTTATGGTTTGTAGTTTTTTTGTTGTTGTTGCCAATTTGTGTTCTAGAAAAGAAAATTGAGAGAATTATACAAAAAATAAGTCAACGTCAATGATTTGAAGATGTTGAAAATGACGTGGCTTTTTCTTATTGGAAAGATGCCATCGACGGCCATTGACCCATCACGCATGTAAACCGCGTAAGCTCAAGGCCCCTCCACGAAAACATTCTTGCATTGGGCTTTGAAGGGTATTTTAGGTATTTAATGTGGTTATTTATGTGAATTGACTTTTTTAACCTCTGTCTCTATAAAGATCTTCTTCCGTTTTCGCAATTATGCGTTGTTTTGAAGCTTCTCTTTCAAATTCTGTTCGTCTCTCGCGATCTCTCTCTCTCTCTCAGATAGCTCCGGAACTTTGACGTAGAGGTACGATTGATCTAGATCTGAGCTTAATTCATTCTCAATTTCATAGATTCGAATACATTTGCAGGTTTGTTCATTGTGTTCTTAGGTTGCATCCTCGTTTTCGATTTGATGGTTTGGGGATTCGATATTTTTAGCTTCGATTTAGGTTTACGATGATGCGCATCTATTGATGTTTTGGTTGGGAATTCTGATTCGATATGTCTCTGTAGCGTTTAAGTCTGGATCTATGAGCATTTTCACTTCTTCTCGCTGTAATTGCTTTGTATAGATTCTGGATTTCTCGACGATCTATACGATGAGAGCATTAGGTTTTAGATCTGCGTTTATCTAATTGTACTTATGATCTGTTCATAGAGTTCTTTTTTTATAGTTAAACATATTGTTTTTTTTTTTTTTCTCTTGTGATCTATTTGTACTTTTGGAATTTGCTAATGCATTATGTGTGATACAGTGAAGCAGGATGGGTTTGTCATTCGCCAAGCTTTTTAGCCGGCTTTTTGCCAAGAAGGAGATGCGAATTCTCATGGTTGGTCTTGATGCTGCTGGTAAGACCACCATTTTGTACAAGCTCAAGCTCGGAGAGATTGTAACCACCATTCCTACTATTGGTGAGTTTAAACATCATTCCATTATTCAGTTTGCAAAAGCTTTGTTCTATCAACTTTGTTCATACTATTCATACAATTGTTTCCTTCCACTGGTCGTGATGATTAAATTACAAATTGTGGACAGGGTTCAATGTGGAAACTGTGGAGTACAAGAACATCAGTTTCACAGTGTGGGATGTCGGGGGTCAGGACAAGGTATAGGATTATCCAACTTTAAAGCATTAAGAAGTTCTTTTTTTACATCACAACCTGGGGATCTTTTTCCTACTGTGTCTTGGTATTGTTGTTGATGAAGTTAGTACCACACAAACTGACATGGTATAAAACCTGCACTTCTTGTTGTCAGATCCGTCCCTTGTGGAGGCACTACTTCCAGAACACTCAAGGTCTTATCTTTGTGGTGGACAGCAATGATAGAGACCGTGTTGTTGAGGCTAGAGATGAATTGCACAGAATGCTGAATGAGGTCTGTTTCCAGTGCTATCTGCCTGTTGTATTGAATTCATTCATTTCTAGATGATTCCAGTGTTTCTTGATAGTAGTAAGACCGCTCTAGTCAACTTACCAAACACTTGTCGGGTTTTATACAGGATGAGCTGCGTGATGCTGTTCTGCTCGTGTTTGCTAACAAACAGGATCTCCCAAATGCTATGAATGCAGCTGAAATCACTGATAAGCTTGGTCTCCACTCTCTCCGTCAGCGTCACTGGTAAATAAACCATATACTCTCCCCTGCTTCCCTCATGTTGATTTGTTCTCCTACACATAACATTTCTTATGATATAGTTCCAAAGATTTATATCACTGGTCTGATTAATTTACGTCTACGAACTCTCTCCAGGTACATCCAGAGCACATGTGCCACTTCAGGTGAGGGGCTTTACGAAGGTCTTGACTGGTTGTCCAACAACATTGCCGGCAAGGTAAAATGTCACAAACAACAATTTAATTTTGTCTATCAGTATTTTCAAGCAAATTGTCATTCTTTCTTCTGTGTTCTTGTTACCGGTTGTGCAGGCGTAGAGGGAAAGTTCGTGGCCGAGTTGATTTGCTGAGCAAATCTGGATGCAGGGGCAAACATTATCTGAATTTTTTTTGTTGGTTTCCGCTTTTGTTATTGTTCTGCTTTTTTTTTTGGGATATGTGGATGGATTTTGTGATTGTTGTTCTGATTGTGTAAGCAGGGGTCTTTGTACGTAGAACTTAGAAAAACTACCTTTTATATAGTTTTGGTAAAACTGTAATCGAAGATTAATCTACTGCTTTCGTGGTTTCTGGCACATTTTACTTTTGCACTTTGATTCATATGTTGGAATGCGGTTTCGTTTACACACCTGCTACACGAAACTTGATAGTTTTGCTAGTATTGTCATATGATTCAAGTATGATTATCTTAAAAACCATGGAATAGCTTCATTTATCTGTTTTTCTTTTCACTATATTTGTGGAATTGTATGTAGGTTAATGAAATGTATAAATTGTGATTCTAAGAGATTATATGACGAGTACAATTGTATGGTTGGAACTATTTTTCGGATTACTGTTCAAAGTCAATGTGTTTAAAGGTCAGTGACTAAGAACATACATTTCTAAAGTTATATGTAATATTATGCTATTTAAATTTATAAAAAGTGATTTTAAAACTTTATTTGATGTTGTATCAATTGATAGCGGATTTGGGACGTTTCAAATACCTCGCATCACGGCACTTGTAATTTGAAGATCTTCGATCAGAGTTTTCATGGTCTTGATGGTGATCCGACGAACGTACCAAGAAATCGGTGGCAGATTAAAAAGAAAAGAAGGCTTAAACATCTGGTCCAATGTCACTTTCGACCCAATCCTTCCTTGTCCGCGGCTACATTTTTCGTATTCTTCTGTACTCCTAGGCTTCTCGTGTTTGCAAAAGAGTTCTGAATCTACGTATAAGGGCTCCACTTTATACTGACCCTCAAACATGTTTATGAACATCTTATTCTTCACCGTATATTGAACCTGCCGAAAATAAGCAAGAGAAACCCAATTTAAATTTCCCAAGTCTGTATAAAAGGATTGATTCTCATGAGGGAAGTTTCTAACCGTAAGGAATTGTCGATTTTCGATAAAATTTGCAATTATCGGGATGGTTCCAGACAACCAAAGGAAGTTCCAGGCCACAGCTTTCTCTGTGTCCACAAGCTGCCCTTTCCCGGTATCCGGGGACACAACTTTTCTTGATATGTTTTCCTTTATAAATAAAAAATACAAGCACACTCTCAATTCTCAAATATTGTTATTATACTTTATTTGAAACATAAAATGATAAGTTAAAAGAAGAAACCAAAAGTTGGCGTCCTTTGATTATTCTTGAGTATGGTTGGTTGTCTGGATTAGTTAAAACGTCGTAAGCTGCTTGAGGAGGCAATCCTAATGTAAATTGCATTTCTATAGTTGACATACCCCATTCTAGATCATTTCTTCTTTCCACCTTCATACATAAAAAGGAAAAGAAAATTTTGAGATCTTTATTCTTAATTCTACCATTTCCTTTTGTTATCTGATTTAATTATTTTTTACTGATTTACCTTCACCTTAGGTGGGTCATCATTCCATTGTTCCTTCTGCTCTGCATCTCTCCAAAGTTTTAATTGATGTTTCATCTCATCTCTCTCCTCATGAGTATTTGTCTCCGACTTTGACTTAAATTTCACATTCTCATATCTCTCGGACTCTGCCTACAACAACAAACATAATCATTAATTATCTATTGATAGTTTATATGTTCTATACTTCTATATATAATTGATGGAAATGAAACTAACCTTATGAGGCTGTTGAGTGTTTTGATTGATCCAGCTACCAAATCCAGGAAATACGCCCATATCCTCTCTTAAAATTTAGTCCACAAATAGAATGACGATCCAAAGAGAGTAGTGTCCGCGAGATAGATCGATGGAGAGACAAAAAGAGAGTTGACTTACAGAGGAAAAGAAGTCAACGGCACAGTTTAAGATTTCAGGGACCTTAGATAAAAAGATGGATTCAGATTTAGATAATATAATATGAAATTGAGAGAATACCGAATGTGGAGTGTACCATACGTTATACGAAAAAAAAAAAGAGGAGAAACAGGGCAGCTAAGTCTCGTGACTTCTTTCTTGTCGTACAAGCGACTGGTACATGAGGAATGTTTCTGCTGTGTCCTACGTGATATCTGAGCATCATAACTTAGATTCGTAATTACAAAAAGAATTGGAAGTATGTATAGTCTACGTGTATTTTCCCAAACTATTTATAGACTGGTTATTAAGAAATATGTTCATTGACCAAGAACAATACATGCATCTTTCATATCATATGAGAGAAAATTGCAAAACACAAATCCAAAATGTAGCAGGTTTCATAAATATTTTGAGGTTTTCTAAAAACATTTAATAAAATTTGAGTTGTTATAAGAGATTTAATATGTTCTCGAATTACGTTTATACTTATGTTTGCGAATTAAGAATATGCTTAATTACAAACAACACTTCAAATTTAGTCAGATTTTTTAGTTGAAACGACTATAGGTTTAGATTTTTATTCTGCGGATGTCCCTTCAAATGATGCTAAAGTAATACATTTTTTATTTCAAAATTACATGTTAATATTAACACGATACTCATATTTTTTGTATTCGGTAAAGAAGAATACACTTAATTAAGATGAATAAAGTGATTTTGAAGATTAGTATTTGTCCTCTTCGGATTTAGAAACCTATTTAATGTTTGAGGGTATTTCAAACACCTCGGAGCTTGGCGTCCATATCTTGAAGATCTTCTATCAGAGCCTTAGTGACCTTGATGGTGATCTCACGGATGTACCAAGAAAGCGGTGGCAGATTAAAAGGAAAAGAAGGCTGAAAGGTCTGGTTCATTGTCACCTTCGACGCAATCTTTCCTTGTCCACCACTACATTTACGGTATTCTTCTCGACTTTTCGGCTTCATGCCTGATATGTTGTGTTTTTATCGGTTTCGAGTCTTGATTTAGTCCATGTTTTGAGTCATCTATCGTGTCAAAGTCCGTCTTTTGCGTCTTTTCGGTTGTGTCTTGAGTCCTTTGCAGGTTATAGGTGCTCGAGCTGGATTCGGAGCATCTTGTGCATGATTGAGCCTATTCGGAGCTAAAACAATGGAGAAACGGTACAAGAGATCACCAGGAGCTGGGGATCGATCGATCCAAGGCGTGGATCGATCGATCCCAATTGTGACGATGAGCCAAAAGTTCCAGTACCTCGAGATCGATCGATCCCAGGAGGGGATCGATCGATCCAACCCTCATCCGTCCAAGACCAATTGATTCAGCATATCTGGATCGATCGATCCACCCATGGGATCGATCGATCCAACCCTCACTTGTCCAAGACCAATTGATTCAGCATATCTGGATCGATCGATCCGAGCCTCGACGACCAGACCGGTTTTCCTTAACCGGGTTTATTTGCCTTTTTCTGTACTTGGGTATAAAAACCCAGAGAAACCTATTTTTCTCTCCACGTTTTCTTCTGCAATTTTTCTGAGACTTTTCTCTTGTAAGCAACCTTGGGATTCTAGAGATTCATCCTCTTTGACAATTTGGAGAAGATTTCTAAACCCTATTTCTTATTTTCATTGCAATTCAATTATGTCTTCTTCATCTATTTGTCTTGCTTCTGTTGCTATGTGTGAGTAGTCTTTTAATTAGGTGTTAGGGTTCTAATTAGGAGATTCGATAGATTAATGGATTAATTGTTGTTTGGAATTCTCATTCTCTAGGTTCTTTGATTCACATGTTCTTAATGCTAGAATAGGATTGATCACCCTGTTGTAGAACCTAGGTTTTTCTATGCATCAAAAGTGTTCGATAGAATGCCTGAAAGAATGTGAATTGAGCAATGTATTTCTAGCCAACGAAAGTTGAAGTTAGGACGCATTGTGAACTAAATGAACTTGTTTGATAATGCGAATTTGACTAGGAAATTACATGCGAAAGTTTAGTAATCGAGTAGTCAAATTTAGTGATTAATGTCTTGAAAGAGAATTAGTCTAAGTTGTGTTCATGTTCAAGAACGGTTCGTAATTGTTGAATTCCTCGTCCCATGTTTCCATTGTTTATTGATCTCTGAAATACCCTAATGCCTAATGTCTTTAAACCTTGAAACTTAAATCGTTTAATTTAATTGCATTTTTATTTTAAAATCTGAAAACCAAACAAACAACCTTTCCGCTTTAGCTAAGAACGAGTCTCGGAAATCTTTAGTGTACCATTGGTTCTTGTGGATCGACCCCGTATATACTACCTTGCGGTTAAGTGTATCGGGTAATTACTCGAGCAATCAATGCCCTTGCACAAGCGCTCTGAATCCACGTATATTGGCTCCAATTTCCAACTACCCTCAAAAGTTTTCATGAACATCATTTTCCTTTTCATATATACTGCCTGCGTCAATAAGCAAGAGAGTAATATTTCCAGTGATAATGAACAAAAATATTGATTCTCTTGAGAGATAGAAAAAAGTTTTTCTTACATAAAGATTTTTACGGTTTTCGACGAAATCGAGACTTATCGGGATAGTTCCAGACCACGAAAGAAACTTCCAGGCCACAGCTTTCTCCGCCTCCACCGTCTGACTCGATCCATCATCCGTCAACACTTTTCTTGATACGTTATCCTTCGTAAGGAAAAAATATCACATTCTCAAAAATTGTTATAATACTCATTTGAATCATACAATGATAAGAAAATAAAAGAAAAACCAGAAGTTCGTGGCGGTGGTTGATTATTCGTGAGTATGGTTGGTTGTCGGGATTAGTCAACACGTCGTAGGCTGCTTGAGGAGGCAATCCTAATGTAAATACCATGTCCACATGACAAAGACCATTTTCTGTTTCCACCTTCAAAAATAAAAAAGTGTTAGAAATTTGGGATCTTTTTTTTCTAATGGCAAAAAAAAATAAAGTATTGAGATTGTTAGCTCATATGGTCTTACCTTCACTTTAGCAGGGACATCTTGCCATTGTTCTTTCTTCTCTGCATGTCTCCAAAGTTTTAATTGTTCCTTCATCTCATCTCTCTCCTCGTGAGTACTTATCTCTGACCTTGACTTAGATTTCACATTCTCAGATCTCTTAGACTCAGCCTACAACAACAAACGTAATCATTATCTAATAATCTCTATCATTGACCGATATAGTATTTATATTAATTTAACTTCCAAGAGTTCTCTGATTGATGGAAATGAAACTGACCTTAGGAAGCTGTTGAGTGTTCTGGTTGATCAAGCCATCAAATCCAGGCAATATACCCATTCCACTCTTAAAATTTAGTCGACAGAGAGAAAATGACGATCTAAAGAGAGTCTGGTCCGAGGCAAAGAGATAGTTGACTTACTAAGTAAAATAAGCCAATGGCATAGTATAAGGTTTCAGGGACCGTAGATAAGAGATGGATTCTGAATTAGACAAAATATAGTAAGAAATTGAAAGAATAGCGAAGGGTGAAGTGTAGGGTACGTTTACTTACCGATTAAGAAGAGATACTAGGAAGCTCAATTCTTGTGACTTCTTTCTTGACGTACAAGCAAGAGCTACATGAGGAATGTTAATGGACCTATAAGCCCACTAGGATTAGTGATTATTCAAATTTGAGTTGGTCCAAATTATGTAATTTGTTGAGAGAATGAAAGATTTTCTTAAAGATAAAAATGTTTAGCAAACCTTTGCGGCTAGCGTTAATATAGATAGAAGGCACAATTTAGTGAAAAGGATAAATCAAAAATCAAACACAGGTAACATTCAACTATTTAAAGAGACACAATTGAGTGAATAAAAAGAAGAAGAATGGCATGAAAGAACACAAAAATATGCTTTACGCTAATCCCTACGTTGTTTAAACTTTATACCATTTTTTTTTTTTTTTTTGTTAATGAACTTTAAACCATTTCCTCTTGTGGAGCCCCACAACATCAGCCCCCATTACTCTGCTATTTTAAACTTTATAAAAATTAGAACGTATTGTGTGTAAAATATTGGGTAATGGGAATATAGATTAGTCAATGATTGGTAAAGCTCACTCCATAAATCTTCTGAATTTTTATTGGGAAAGAGTAAATTGTACAAAATCCCACTTTATCTCCTCACAAAGAAAACAGATTTGTTCTAAAGTGCATCTCTCTCCATGCACTTACACATCACAAAGAATATCTTTAGTAGCTAGCCTCTCTTTATAAAAAGAAAAGAAAGAAAAACAACAAAGAATGTTCTCTCAATTTTAAAGATGTTTAATTTCAGACGCATTAGTCTTATTCCTTTCGTTACCTGTCACTTTTGTATGATACATATTAAATATTAACTTTGTTTCTAACCACAAATGCTACTAATACATTACCCCTACTCTCACATGGAATGAAGCATATTCACATTTCTTGTTTCACAAGTACCTTCTCAATAACCCTCCTTGATCTCTACTCAAGGAACACCACAAGATATCTCAACTCCAACATCTTCTTATAACTGATTTATCTTTAAGATCGAATCAAACAAAAACAAAAGCCTAGGAGAGAAAATGGGAGATCAAGGAGTACAACAGATGCAGCAGCCTATTGTTGTGTATCCAAACGCTTACAATAAACAGTATCCAGACCCATCTTCTTCTAAAAAACCTTCTTCTTCCTCTGGCTCAAGCGGAAACTTTGGGACGGTCTTCATAGTCCTAGCCGTTATCTTTGTCTTGTCGGCTCTGGCTTGTGTCTTTGGGAGGCTATGTAACCGTGAAAGTCGTGCGGCTAAGCAGCAACATAGCAAGCAACCAAAGCATGATAAAGCTTCTTCCAAGAAGAGCCGTGAGATTCGTCCTGTGGAGCGTGAGCCGAGGGAGAGAGGTGATATGGAGTTTGGGTTTGAAATGAAACGGCCTGAGCCAATTGAGAAACCTTCGGGAAGAGACGATGAAAGACATAGAGAGGACATAGAATTCGGATTTGATAACAAGAGAGGAGAAAGAGGCGAAGGTAGAGGCGGAGGAGGACCACCTCCACCGAGTATCAAACATGCAGTGAGGTTTAAGCTACCGGAAAATGGAGAACATCATTCTAAAGGAGAGATCAGACGTGGAGGTCCTGACTTCGAGTTCCGACCAGGACACTAATGATCTTAATTTATCTAAGAACAAACTACTCTATGTTTATGTCTTAATTGCTTCCTCACTTTTATTTCTTTTGTGCCTTTTTCTTTTCTGGTTTGATTCGTTTTCCTTCTTATTGGTATGGATCTTAGAGCTGAAGCTATCAAACTTCTTATAGTCTCTTGGTGTGATGTATAAAGTAGACTCTCTACATATCAAAGGTACTAAATAAAATCCATAATATTTTCTAAGTATATTTTGTAAGAATCAACAAATTTATAGAAGAACGTTCTTATCACAATACAGAGTTCTTCTTCACTATCCTCTTCACTCAAAAAAAAATTAGGAACACTACAGAACGGAGAAAAAGTAAAACAAGATACAAATAACTCTTTCACAACTTATCTGGGTTCTATTTCTTCTGAGGGAATTTCGCCATTAAGAGGACAAAAACTAAAGGCACCTACCAAGAAATGCAATATACGAAAAGAATGGCTTTACAACGCCCAAGGAGGCAGAGGTATCTGTTACTTTCACCTATTGTATGATCAGAACCGTCGGTTATTGAAAGGTCGAGTCTCAGATTCATTCCCTGAGAAATCTGAAGAGCTTTTGGCAGAGTAGTTTCCACTGTACAATCCTGACTCTACGCTGTTATCAACACCAAACGCCATTTTTCTGAATTTCATGATGTCTTCATTGTATTGCCCTGAATCATAAGTTGTGCTTTGCCCAACTTTGATTCCGTTGCTAATATCTCCCGAGTCTCCGTCGCAGTCCAATGCTCTCACAACCTTATTTTGAAGAGTAGATAAGTTTTCAGATGTGATGAAATTAGAATTAAGAACTGTATAGAGCAATCAATTGTTGCTATATATGGGATCTTTGGAATTTTGGTTAGTCAGAATTACCTGAACCATGCGTGGACGTTTTGGACCAGAATGTCTAACACATGCAGCGGCTGTCTCGATCATTCTGAAGACTTCCTGCTCCACATAATGCTGTTCAAGCCGTCTATCAATCAGTTCGCTTAAATCTCCGGTCTCAATGGCTTTGAGAAGCAGCGGGCGCGCCTGTGAGTTCATGTTTAAGTACTGCATAAGAACACTAGGGCCAATCTTTTACTGTAACTGAAGAATGTTTGAAAATTGGATTTTTACCCATTCAACCAAACTCTCTTCTCCTAGAGGCTGACTCTGATCAACTGGTTTCCGTCCAGTTACAAGCTCTAAGAGAACAACCCCGAACGAGAAAACATCGGATCTATCAGTCAATTTTCCACTTGATGCATATTCCGGCGCTAGGTACCTGAACACAAAACATGTTAGTCTTGATCCCTGTAATGCAGCCATATATTGGATCAATAAAGATTCAGCTTTGATCCAATTTGTTGCCTCAAGCCAAATATGACAAACTTGTCATCAGGCATGGGATCAATAAGGTCCAGCTTTGGGGTAGAGCTTGTGATGAATGTTTGCTTACCCGAAGGTTCCCATAACCCGAGTTGAAACGTGAGTTTGTGTTGTATCATTGAGTCTAGCAAGTCCAAAATCAGCAACCTAAACACCAGAAAAACAAAACAAGAACCAGAACAAGTCTCATTAACTAAAACTTTTAGAGTCATAAGATGAGTATAAAGAAATGGGGATTTCATTATTGCCTGAGCTTCATATTCATCATCTAGAAGAATATTTGCTGACTTTATGTCCCTGTGTATGATTTTCGGATGACCTGGCAAATAAAACAAGGATGTGATTCTGGCTTCTGTTTAAACTATGAAGTGCATAACCAAAACACACATTGAAGAAATATGAAGGCATTACTTACAGTCTTCGTGAAGATACGCCAACCCTTTGGCTGATCCTATAGCGATCCGGACTCTCTTAGACCACTCTAAAACTGGCAAACCCTTTCCTAAAGCGTAAAGCAATTCAGTCTAACACCTAAAGCTAAAAAGTCTTATCTATAACCAAAATGGTAAAAGCCACTCACCGTGCAAATGATGCTCCAAGGTTTGATTAGAAACATACTCATAGATAAGCAATCTATGTTGGTCCGAAATGCAGTAACCGACCAGAGAGACCAAATGGCGATGATGAACGCGGCTGATGATCTCAACCTCTGCCTTGAATTCACGGTCACCTTGTCCACTTCCAGCTTTAAGCTGCTTAACCGCAACAACTTTACCATCCTGCAATGTACCTTTATAGACACATCCAAATCCGCCTTCTCCAAGAATGTTTTGGCGAGCAAAGCCTTGTGTTATCTCTGCAAGCTCTTCGTAACTGAAATGTGTCTGGCCACTTCCGAGTATAGCAGAGTCAGGTGTGCCACTGGATTGCATTTGATGATGAGGATAACCACCCTGTGTGCCGAAGCTGTTTCCCATAGAGGAATGTTGTTGCTGTGAATTGTACATTGAACCACCAGGACCAGAGGAGTATCCTTTACCTGGATCTTGACCGTATAAGAATCCATCTACATCAAAGCAAAGATGGTCAGAGAGATGATCCAAGCACATAGAAGATGATCAGAGAGATAAAGCAAAGATTTTTAAACCTGATTTAACAGAGAAATTGGGATGTGGCAAGTACTGTGAGTGATTATAACTATCAATGTTTCTCTTCTTCTTTCTTCTCACTAAGAACACAACCGCTATAAGCGCCATGATCGCGAAACCCGCTACAGCCATACCAACCATAGTCTTCCCTTGATAGCCGCCACCATCTCCATTGCCTTGGTTTGAGGAAGGCGTTCCTTTGCTGGGAACTGTGAGAGATGGAGAGACGATAGGTCCACCGGAAGCAGTTTTGGGTGGTGCTGTGTAGAATGGGCTCGGCGGCGCTTTGGGATTAGCCGGAGGAGAAGTGGTTGGTCCTGATGGTTGAATTGGGGGAGGTTTGGTAGGGTCTGATGGTGGAGCTGGAGGTGAATTGGTAGGATCTGATGATGGTGGAGCCGGAGGAGATTGTGACGGTGGTGATTCCGGGTTTGTGGGTCCTACACTCGGCGAAGATGGAGGAGGCGATTGAACATGTTGAGACGGAGGAGGGTTGTTGTCATTGGGTTCATTTGGTGGAGCCGGTGGTGTTTCAGAATCCGCCGGAGGAGAAGGCGATTCGTTTGACGTCGGTGGTGGCGGAGAAGGAGTTGAATCAGCCGGTGGAGAAGAATCAGAAGGCGGAGGTGGAGAATCTGTTATCGGAGGAAGAATCGAAGGTAAAGGAGGAAGCTGTGAATCGGGAGGAGGAGGCGACGGTTCCGACGGCTGCGGTGGTGATGAATCAGCCGGTGGACTAGGAGGAGAAGAATCAACAGGTGGAGGAGCAGAATTTCCAGATGAAGTATCTGGCGGAGGAGCGGAATCAGCTGGTGGTGAAGAACTCGGCGAATCGCCTGAGTCTGACATTTTTTTTGTTTCGTTTTCAACACTCAAAATTGATCAATAAAACCCAGAAACTGTAAATTTTTCTGAGATTATATATCAATTCACGAAGAACCCAATAATCTCCAGTCTTCAAAATCCTTTACTTTGTGAAAAATTTCCCAGAAACAATTCAATCGAATTATGATTAATACAGAAAAAAAAAATATCAGAAAACTAGGGTTTATAAAATTTCCAGGACCTTGAGAAATCAGGTGGAGAGAGAGAGGAGAAAATGCGAGAAGCCAATACAGACTTTAATTTTTCTAAGGTCTCTTCTCTCTCCCTCAAACTTTCTTTTCCCGGAAAAATAAAATAATAAAAGGAATTTAACAAAAAATCGCCATGATCATATTTTAGTGATGATGATGATAAAAGTCGAAGGCACGTCGTCGTCTCGTCTCTGTGTTTTTTTTTTTTTTTCCTCATCGTATTGTTTCTTTTGGGACGACACACCTTGATTCCCGGGTTACCGCGTAAATTAAACGGAAAATTTTGAAGTTTAATCGGACCTTTTCGACCCGACCCGACCCGGTATTTCTCATTGAAGAACTTTCTAGCACGATGACAAAAGGGAATCTTTATCGGGCCTTTTAATAATGATGGGCCTATTGGGACGATACTAAAGCCCATTATCAATACAGTCGGTCTTCACACAATTGTTTAATCGCATAAATGATTCCTCTTTGTTGGTGTTTGTTACTAATAAGTAATTACTCGTTGTTGTTCATCGTAAGTTCGTAACTTTTACACTAGGATATGACCCGCGGTACACCGCGGGTTAATTATTTGATTTTTTTAATTCTTTTTATAAACTAATGAATTTGTTGTGTATAATATTTCCTGTTGTATCGCGGATCATATGCGTTGTATCTAAAAAATAAAAAATTTAAGTTGTATTTATTTTGTTTAGTGTTTAAGATTGTATAATTGTATTTTGATTTGTTAATTCTAGGATTTCACCCGTGGTATATTTTCCCATATTAATATCGACCCAAACCCATCCCACCATATAATTCCGTTCTGTGAAATTAAACATCATTGTGTTATTTTTTTAATAACACTTTTATTTAAAAGACATATAATTCGAATCAATTTAAAAGTTTGCTTTCAAATGGTTTTCATAATATATATATATATATATAAATATATATATATTTTTTTAATTATGTGTTTTAGGACCAACCCGTAAAAATAATTTACAATTGTATTTTGATTTGTTAATTTTAGGATTTCACCCGTGGTATACTCTCCCGTTTTAGATAATTTTAGAAATTAAGAAAAGATCCGAATGACTCAATTTCGGGTCAGAATAAAAAAAAACGATCTGATTAATTGCGCAATTTGTTTTTCAAAAATGTTAATATAAATTGCAAACATACTTTTTTTCTTCATCAACTGAGTAATATATGTCCGTTTAAAAATAATTTGAATCATAACATATGCAGAAAAAACTAAAATTTACTATATGTATATATTATAATAATTCAAAATAATTTAAATATAACATCAAATAAAAGTGAAATGAGAATCATATATTTATGTTTAAAATCCGGGTCAAAATTAAAAAAAAAAAAAAACAAAACTGACCCAGAAAAAGAGCAAATATGTACTTTAGATTGTACATATTTTTTTTTCTTTATTGATTGAGTAATATATTTCCGTTTTAAAAAATTTGAAACATAGCATATGTAGAAAAAAATATAAAATTTTATTAACTATATATATTTTATAATAATTCAAAATAATATAAATATAAATCAAATAAAAGTGAAATGAGAATCATATATTTTTGTTTAAATTAGGTAGAGAAGTTTTAAGAAATTAGCTCAAATTTGTTATATTAGCATTAAATCATCATATTTGGTTTCCTTATATATAAAAATAAGAAAGAATATGCCATAAATAAAGAGTTTAGGTGTAGTCATTAGTTGAGAAAATGTATATTTTTAGAATTTATTAATTAATTTCGTTTTTGAATTTTGCCAAAAATAAGGAAAGATCCGATTGAAGATTTCCGGGTCAAAATCACAAAAAAAATCCGACCCAAGTGGAAAGAGCAAATTTGTACTTCAAAAATGTTAAGTAGATTTTACTTAAAACCATAATTCTAGTAAACTAGTACTCAAACCAAGATATTTTTTCTTCCTTATAAGCACAAAAAAACAAACTTATCCTAAATTAAGAACCCGTCATTAAAAATGATAACAACGCCAACACCAAGCCATTAATTTCCTTAGCGTGGCAAGTAACGTGATCTTAGTAAAGGGGTAATATAGTCATTTCAGATAAAGAGAAAAAAACAAAAATCTTGTGGTGCAAGCAGAAAAGTAACGGCACCGCTAACAAAAACCGTTTATACGGAGAACGACGATTCTGACCACCTGTAAATAAACAACACTTGCTTTCTTCTTCTTCTTCTTCATTCTTCATTTTTCCCCTTTCCCCAAGAAAACTTCTCTTTCTCTGTTTTTTTTTTTTTTGGGTGATAATGGCGGCGCAGGTCGAAATTGAGGACCAAGCGTCTGTCACCAACCTTGATAATGGCGAAATCTTCGATTCACTCTCCGACGATGCTGATTCTTCTTCTTTCTCCAAAACCGACTCTCTGATTCTTCTCGGTGAAGGAAACCCAGAGCACGATGTTATCAAGACGTGTTTACTCTCTGGAATGGGTGTTGTATCTAGCGACACGACGATCGTGACGATTCGTAAAAACTCATCGGAAGGAATCACGACGAGAGCTAAGTTTCTTTCCTTTAGGATTTTCACTGACGCTGTTGCGAGGAAACACGGCGGAGATGCGAATGTTAAATATGGTTGGTACGCTGGTTCTAAACCGGAGATTCAAAGTATCATCTCTTACGGATTTAGTAATCGTGATGTTGGAAAATTCGAGAATGATGGTTGTTCTCATGGAATTGGAATCCATTTGGTTCCTTCTAAGTGTTCTCTTCTTGCGTAAGTCCGAGATCTCTCCACTGATTTTGAGCTATTGAATTGGGAATTTGTGTGGTGATGATGTAACAGTGAAAGCTATTTTTTACAGGGCTTCAGCTACAGAGCCAGATGAGGAAGGTTTAAGATATCTTCTCTTATGCCGTTTGATCTTGGGGAAACCTGAGTTAATCATCTCTGGCTCTAAGCAGTCGTATCCGAGCTCAGCTGAGTTTGATTCTGGTGTGGATGATCTACACAATCCTAGAAACTATGTCATATGGAGTTGTAACATGAATTCGTTTATACTTCCGAGTTATATCGTCAGTTTTAGGTCTCCTCGTCTTAGAGGTTATAAACACTTTCTTTCTTTAAGGTTTCTTTATTATGAATTGATATTTGTGATCTCTTAGTTGCTTAAAGATTGGTTTGGTGTGTTGTTTTCAGTAAGTAGAGGTGGTTTTGCTGCAAGACCAAGCTCGCCGTGGGTTAGTTTTGCCGCCTTGATGTCAATGTTGTCTAAATCAATGGATCCTTCAAGAATGAACTTGATCATCCGAACTTACGATGATTTTCGGGTATGGAATCCTGTTTACTTAGTGTATGTTCTGTTCTATGATTCTTGATATTCATTACTTAGATTCAATGTGGGTTTATATTGCAGAAACGGAAGATCAGGAGAGACCAATTGGTTAGGAAGATGAGAGAAGTGGCTGGAGACAATCTTTTGGCTGAGATAATCAAGAATCACAGAGACAAAAACAAGATCAAGAATTAAAAAAAATACATCATGAGGTAAGAAAGAGTCTTTATTTATTCTCAACTAATCAATTTAATGTAAAGTGAATGTTCTTATTCTTACTTATGGAGCAAGGATTGTTAAACTTGGTTTTCTTTTGTTGGGGTATATGTGAAAAGTGACCTTTTTCTTGTCAAACACCACATCAGCTTATATACCTTTAGACGTGTGTTGATTGTTGATCCAACTCATGCAATGTTTGAGTCCATTCATTTGCTTTTGTTAAACGTATGGAATTTTAAGAATTGTCTTTGACTTTGTAGAATATTATTGACCTTTTCTTTCTTCTTCTATTACTTGCAGAGAAGTTCCACACGTGTGAATGATGACAAGAAAAAATATCAAAAGAAGATCACACACGTATATAGACAAGCTTCAATCATATGTGGAAGGAACTATATGAGAGTTTTAAAGCATTTTTTTTTCCTATTGGAAGGTATAGTTTCTGTTAGTGGTGAAAACAGAGGATCTCTTTTGGGAAACTTGTAAAGAGCTTGAAAGTTACAAATTTCCAGAACAATCAAGAAGTTCCAAAACCACAATCTCTTTAATTACATTGTCCTAGGATTAGTAAATCTCCTCCGCTTAGTTCTCCTATGCGATCTCCATCTTTCCTTAATGTCATCAGCTTTGCTCTTCTCGAATACGACGTTGTTTTCTTCTTGATCAGCAATATAGCCTCCTCCTTTTCCTCCCCGAAGTCTACTAGCTTCAGCGAATAGATCTTCGATCATACTCTCTGTGGTTTTAATAGTGATCCCACGTATGTACCAAGAAAGTGGTGGTGGAGTAAGAAGAGCAGAAGGCTGAAACATTTGATCCATTGTCACCTTCGATCCGATCCTTCCTCGTCCGTTGCTACAGCTATGGTAATCTTCTTGAGATTTTGGCTTTGAGCGCTCACACAAATGTTCGTCTATAAATAATGGTTCAACTTTCCAACAACCCTCAAATACTTTCATGAACATTGTTGTCTCTTGCTTATATTTTGACTGGCCTCAAGAAAAAACAAATTGAGTTTGTGAAGATAGAATAAAAGGATTGATTCTTGCGGTAGAAAATATATCTTACAGTGAGATTTTTCCGGTTTTCTTCGACAATGAGATGTATAGGGCAAGTTCCAGCCCACCAAAGGAACTTCCAGGCCGCGGCTTGCTTCACCTCCACAGTCTGCTTTAGCCCTTCGCTGATCAAAACTTTTCTCGATATGTTTTCCTATTTAGGATTAAGACCTATCTCTCAAATATTTGCTGTAATACTCAATTCAAATCAAATAAAACAAGACCATGCACAAAGCACCTTGATGTTTTTGAAGTATCTTTTGTTGTCTGGATGAGTGAAAATGTTGTAGACTAGTTCAGGAGGCAATCCTACGTCTGCTTCAACGTTCAGATGGCAAAACAAACCATTTTGTGATTTCACCTGCAAACATAAGAATTTAAGAATCATATTTTTGTCTAAATTCTACCAAATCTAAGTTTTGGGATTTGTTTCTGGTTCTAATCTTACCACCACTTTAGGAGGTTGATCTATCCATGAAGGATTGTCTCTCCAAGCTTGTAGTTGCTTCTCTAACTTTTCTTCATCTCTATGCTCATCATAAATAGTCTCTATCTTTGACACCGACTTAACCAAGCCTAGCTCTTTAACATTCCTTAATCTCTTTAACTCAGCCTACAACAACAACAAGAATCATAATCTAACTAAATTTCTATATTTTAATAAGCTTCTTGAGGGGTTATTGAGATGGAAATAAAAGTTTGACCTTAATAGGCTCTTGAATTGTTTGATTCATCCATACCAAAAATCCAGGAAGCACAAGATTATTTTCAAACAATTTAACGAAACCGATACCGCTCTTCTCCTCTGATCTTGAAATTTCAGATCCACCCATCTTGTTTCTGCAAAAATAGGTTACAAAAACAGAGCAAGATGACAATGAGAGATCAAAGTCAACGATGTGGTTTGAGGGAAAAACACATAGAGAAAGGTTTGATTAATCAAAGATTATAAATGAATTTGGTGATTAATGATAATAACAACAAGAATCAGTTGGGTAGAGGTTAGAGTGTACCTTACGCATCAAGAACTAAATATCTGGGACAAGTTCCATTCTCGTGACTTGTGAGTTCTCTCTTTCGACGTTAAAGCATGTGCGTAAAATCGGCCGGACATTGCTTTCAACTTGTGTTTCACTTGTTGCAATCGAACTTGTGATTAACTCTAACCTGTGTCTCCTCTACCACAAGATCAAAAATCGACTCTGGTTTGCAATTCATATCCAATAATTGATCTTTCCTTTTTTTATTTTTTTTTGGCCACTTTCCAAGCTTCTCTAATCTAACCTGTTTTTTAATGTTTGTTGAATAAGAACTTTTGTCGGTGTCGAATTAACATTTTGTTTTTATTTTTTTCTTTGGACTTAAATCTGTAATTAATGGGCCGATTATGAATAGAGTTTCTTACAAAAAAGATAAAGGCCCTTAAATGTAGTGTCAAAAGTTGTGTAAAATGTTTAGGTGGATCCGCAAACAATGCATGTCACCATGCATGGCATGATATGACGTGATAGAAGATAAAGTCTCATAAAAAGCAAGTAAGAGCATCGAGTTGGGATTAAGGTAAATGACGTCCTAAAGTAGACTAGAACTTTTATATATATATACAACTTACAACATATATTTGTATATATTCATTTAGCCTAGTGTTTTCAGTTTTTATTGGTTAATTTTTTTCTTCGTGATTTTGTTACGTTTCCATCTTTGTCTGTTGAAGTCACTTCACCTCGGTTTCGAAGGGTTATACCCCAAGTTTGAAGTGTTTTGAGCGCAGTTTTGGTGTTCTTGATGGTGACCTCACGAATGTACCAAGATAGTGGCGGCAGATTAAAAGGAGGATATGGCTTAAAGTATTGGTTCATTGTCACCTTTGATGCAATCCTTCCTTGTCCGCCGCTACATCTTTTGTAGTCTTCCGGACTCTTCGGCTCCATGTTCTTGCACAAGCGTTCTGAATCTACATACACTGGCTCCACTTTATAGCTACCCTCGAACACTTTCATTAAGATCATTTTCTTTTTCTTATATTTTGCCTGTCCACAATCACCAAGAGATACCCGAGTTAAGTTTCACCAATATAATACAAAATATATTGATTATTGTGACGGGGTTTAGAGAAACCTCTTACAGTAAGATCTTTTCTGTTTTCATCGACAATTACACTTATGGGGACAGCAAAAGACGACCCAAGGAATTTCCAGTCCACGGTTTTCTTCACCTTCGCGATCTGCCTTGGTCCATCCTCCATCAGAACCTTTCTCGATTTGTTTTCCTTCATAAAAAAAAGAGTACACTCTCAAGTATCGCTACCATTAATACCACATCTGAATAATACAATGAATGATAAGAAAAAAACCAGAGGTGGGGAGAGAAAAAATGGTCCGTTAGATGGATCAGTAAAAAATCCGAAGACTTTATCTGGAGGAAATCCCAGTGTCAATTCTATGTTCATATGGCAAAGACCATTTTTTGTTGTCACCTACAAACATCAAAAATATAGGAAAATTTAAGACATTTATTCCACTTCCTTTTAAGGCAAAAAAATCCAAGTATTGAGATTTTGTTTGCTGATTTGTCATTATTACCTTCACCTTTGGAGGGGCATCATTCCATGGATGCTTCTTCTCTGCATCTATCCAAAGTTGATCTTGTTTCTTCATCTCTTCTTCGTCATAATATTTCTTCATCTTATCATAGTCATCATTAGTATCCATTTCTGACTCTGACTTAGATTCAACATTTTCAGTTATTTTGGGCTTGGCCTACAACAACACAAATAATCATAATCTAGTTTCTACAATGGATTTGTTCTGATTTATGGAAATGAAACTGACCTTACGAGGCTGTTCATTGTTCTGATTGACCCAGCCACCAAATCCTGTAAATACCATTTTTATTTGAAAGATTAGTCCACAAGCTAAGTTACGAAATGTCGACAATAGAAATGACGATACAAAGCTTGTATATGATATGGTTTAAGGAATCTTAGTTAAACTTTTGAGAGAATGATGTACGTTAAGTTTTACGCACGACTAAACAATGAAGTGGGCAGCTCAATTCTCGTGAGTGATTGACGTATAGAGGAGACCTACCTGAGGAAAGAGGAGATCAATGGTTTGACAAATTTGAGAATATTTACGCTTCCTCTCAATTTTTCAATGTGATCCCTTTTGGTGTAACTCGGCATAAGTAGTATAGTAATACTAACTTGATAGATTCCCAAACGGAGTAACACACTAATCCATTCCCTATTGATGAGAAAACGACCTCAAACCCCTTTCTCATCGTCATTGCCTCGTTGGAGAGTTCGTCTCCAACCAGGCTCCCTTCGAGTTTAATTTGAGCCATTGCTACACTAAAAGATGGACAGAAATTGCGGGTTGCGCTCTACCTTATTTCTGTTTCATAGAAATACAAATTTTTTTAAATTGAAATACAAGCTTATTAAGGAGATTTATTCATTTTTGTGGAGTATTTTATTTGGAAGCAAGATAAAAAAAAGTCTATTTTTGGCTGAGTTTGTTGTCCTCAAATATTCTAAATGAGTAAATTCTAACATCAATATCTTGCAAAATAATAATATGGAAAAAAGACAATAGTGTTTGTCGATTTTATTTTACTTACTATCTCTCTCCCAAAAAATAATTTAATTTGGAAAAGAAATTAAATTTTGTTTCATCAATATGTTCCAAAAAATTTAAATGGTTAATGGCATTGATCGTAAATAATTATGTTCATACAATGTGTTAATTTTTGGTAGTGAATAATCGATTTTAATGAGATTGATTCTGAGCACTCAAATTAAAAAAATGACTTCCAAATTAATTAATGTTTAGGAGAAATTTCTGTTTTTCCATGTTTGTTGGTTGACATGATTACACCTGGATTTCGAATACTGAAACCCCAAAGTTGAAGTCTGTCTAGCACATTTTTGGTATTCTTGATGGTGATATCACGAATGAACCAAGATAGTGGCGGCAGATTAAAAGGAGGATATGGCTGAAAGTATTGGTCCATTGTCACTTTCGATGCAATCTTTCCTTGTCCACCGCTACATTTTCTGTATACTTCTACACTCTTCGGCTCCTTGTTCTTGCATAACCGTACTGAATCTACGTATAGTGGCTCCACTTTATAGCTACCCTCGAACACTTTCATCATCATCAATACAAAAGAAAGATATTGATTATTGTGAGCGGGTATAGAGAAGCTTCTTACTGTAAGATCTTTTCGGTTTTCATCGACAGTTAGACTTATGGGGACGGAAAAAGACCTCCCACTGAAGTTCCAGGCCAAAACTTTTTCCACCTTAGCGATCTGGCTCGGTCCATCCTCTTTCAAAACCTTTCTTGATTTGCTTTTCTTCATAACAAAAAGAGTACACTCTCAAGTATTGCTACAATTAATACCACATTTGAATCATACAATGATAAGAAAGAATACCAAAAGTGGTTCGGTGTTTGGTCCGTTGTGTGGATTAGTGAAAAGTTCGAAGACACCATCAGGATGCAACCCCAATGTCAATTCTATGTGTATATGGCAAATACCCTTTTTTGTTGTCACCTTAATTCAAACATAAAAAAATGTTTTGTCAATCTTTAATCTTAAGTCTACCATTTCCTTTAAATATCTAAGTATTAAGATTTTGTTATTACTACCTTATTTGTTTTTTTGGAATGAATGTAAAATTTATTCAACAAAAAAAAAATACTTTTTTACGATGTAACCTTGTGCTAAAGAGTTTTAAAAGAGTTGCTATTACTACGTACCTTAACCTTAGGAGGGGCAACTTTCCATGGATGCTTCTTCTCTGCAGCTGTCCAAAGTTGATCTTGCCTCTCCCACTCATCTTCGTCATAATATCTCTTCATCTTACCATTATCCATCTCTGACACCGACTTAGATTCAACATTTTCAGAGCTCTTGGGATCAGCCTACAACAACAAAGAGAATCATAATATAGTTTATACGATGGACTAATAATAGTAGTTTATATTGATTTGACCTCAAGAGGCTGTTGAGAGTTCTGATTGATCCTTGCACCAAATGCAGAAAATACACCCATTTCTCTTTCAAATTATAGGTCCAAAAATGATAGTTTCCTGATTAGAGGAAAAAAAAACGACGATCCAATGCTTGTATTCAATATGGTTTTGAAGAATCTATAGCTAAAATGGCTGCATTTTGAGAGAGTGGTGTTACGTTAAGTTTTACGTACAGCTAAACAAGGCAGCGGGCAGCTCAATTCTCGTGAGTTATTGACGTATAGGCGAGACCTACCTTAGGAAAAATAAGATAGAAGCATGAACGTCTTCTGGGAAAATGCCATACCATAAACCGAAATTAGTTTTCGTTTAAAATAGAAATACAAAATCGTATAACCATAACCATATATAATTCTTGCGTTGGAATCAAGGAATTACAAATTTACTAACGTTTCAGAATCGTGATTAATTTGGTGCCAAAATGGCACAATATGGATTTGACCCCAAAATTTATAAATTTATATATAGACGGTCCAATTTTTTCAAATCAGGATCTGATCTCAAAGTAGTCAATCATCATAGAATGTAAATTTGCACAACCATGAATTTTGTGTTGAATTTGAGGAAACCTGATTTAGAGCTTATATATCATTACATTTATCATATAAATTTATTAATCTACATAGAGACAAGCATTATAGTTACTAAATTATAGAGTTCATACAAAATAAAAAACGAAGAAAAGTACATCCAAACTTTAATACAAATACTAAAACTAAGTCTAGAAACGACATAGAAAACCCTAACAACTAGGAAGAAATCTCCTAATTCACCCTTGTGCTAAGAACTTTCGTACGGGTCTACTCGCATCTTGGCACCAATATCTTGAAGCATTTTGAGGAGAGTCGTGGTGGTCTTGATGGTGGTCCTACGAATGTGGGCGGCAAATTAAAAAGAGGATATGGCTGAAAGTATTGGTCCATTGTCACTTTCGATGCAATCTTTCCTTGTCCACCACTACATTTTTTGTATTCTTCTGGACTCTTTGGCTCCTTGTTCTTGCACAAGCTTTCGGAATCTACATAAATTGGCTCCACTTTATAGCTACCCTCGAACACTTTCATGAACTTCATTTTTTGTTTCTTATATTTTCCCTGTCCACAATATGCAAGAGAAATCTAAGCTAAGTTTCACAAATACAAAACAAAAACATTGATTATTACAAAGGATATAGAGAAGCTTCTTACTGTAAGATCTTTCTCATTTTCATCGGCAATTAGATTTATAGGCATACCTCCAGACCACCACAGGAAATCCCAGGCCACAACCTTCTCTACCTCCACTATCTGCCTCGGCCCATCCCTCTTCAAAACCTTTCTTCTTTTGTTTACCTTTATAACAAAAAGAGTACACTTCCAAGTATTGCTATGTATGATTAATATATACCACATTTAATTCACACAATGATAAGAGGAAAAAACCAGAAGTTGGCGCCAAGACTTGTCACTGAAGAGTGGTAAGTTGTTTGGATTAGTGAAAAGCTCATAAACTGATCTTGGAGGCAATCCAAATGTCATTTTTACGTACATATGGCAAAGACCCTTTTTTGTTGTCACCTTCAACCATAAAAAAATGTAAAATTGATAGGATTTTATCTTAACTCAAGCATTTCCTCTAATAGGAAAACAAAATTTCGTTAGCATTTTTTGACAAAAAAATTAAAAGAAAAGAAAAGAAGAGATTTGGTCTTACCTTCACTTTAGGAGGGGCATCAAACCATGGATGCTTCTTCTCTGCATCTCTCCAAAGTTTTCCTTCCTCCATCTCCTCATCGTCGACATTATTAGAATTCATATTTGACACTGACTTAGATTTATTATTCTCAGATTTCTTGGACTCAGCCTACAACAACAAACAGAAACATACTCTAATTTCAATATTTAATCCATGAAACCTAATCATATAGATTTAACCATATAATTTAGCTATATTTGACTTTTGGGCTCTCTGATTGATGGAAATGAAACTGACTTTAAGAGGCTGTTGCATATTTATTTCTCTCTGAAATTTTAGTCCATGAACGATACTTTCCTAATCAGAACAAGAGCAAATGACTGTCCATTCTTGTATATATTATGGTTTGAGCAATATGAGATTAAAACTTGTATGGAGTCGAAAAGAATATCAAAAGGTTAGTGATGGGGTAGTGTACGTTATGTTTACCTACCGCGGAAAAATGAAGTGGGCAGCTCGAATTTTGTGAGTTCTTGACGTATAGGAATGATCTACCTATAGAAAGAAGGCATCGTAGGTTTTAATATCTCGTGAGAACTTTTCCAATTTTATATACCATGAAATAAAGATCCTTTAATGCATCGTCGGTCAGAATTTAGCGGATAGTTACACATTTGTTCCACATATTGAACTTTGTCTATTAGTGTTGCAAATTGAGGTACACGAGCATACAAATGAGCTTTCAAAAGTTTAAGTTTACATATGCTAATGTTTGCCGTGTCTGTTTTATTTTGTTTTGTTTTGTTCATTCAAATGAAAAGCATTTATTTATTTATTAATTTTCTATTTGGATTTAATGCATAATAAAGAGACTATCTAGCTATTTTTAAGTGACTTTACAAAAATATCTAATCAAGTGGTAACATCACTTTTGTGGATCATGATAACATATTTTCTAAGATCTTCTAGCAACATTTTGGTGATTTTGATGGTGATATATACCACGGATAATCCAAGAAACCGGTGGCAGATTAAGAAGAGAAGAAGGCTGGAAGATAAGCTCCATTGTCACCTTTGATGCAATTCTTCCTCGTCCGCCGCTACATTTTTTGTACTCTTCTTGACTATTCACCGATCTAGACTTGCAAAAGCGCTCCTGATCTACGTATAGTGGCTCCACTTTCCAACTACCCTCGAATACTTTCATGCACTTCATTTTCTTTTTCATATATTTTGCCTAAACAAGAGATCAAACTCGAGATTAGTACGTTCACTCAAATCTGAACAAAAACAGTAGATTTTTGTGAGGGATATAGAGAATATATCTTGCTGTAAGATTTTGATGGTTTAATCGATAATGAGATGTATCGGGATAGCTCCAGACCAACAAAGGAGCTTCCATCTCAAAGCTTTCTCTACATCCGTGATTTGCCTCGGTCCATCCTTCTTCAAAACCTTTGTTGATTTATTTTCCTTCAATATGAAAAATATCACACTCTCAAGTATTGCTATAATTAATACTCAACTCGAATCATACAAGGATATGAAGAAAAGAAAAGCCAGAAGTTGCCCTGTCTCATCCTCTCGGAAGAATGGTAAATTTCTTGGGTTAGTGGGCATTTCATAGACTGCTTGAGGAGGCCATCCCCCAATACGAATTCTATGTTCATATGGTAAAGACCCTTTTTTGTTTTCTCCTTCAAACATAAAAAATGAGAAAGTTTTAAAATCTTTTTCCTTAATCCTAGCATTTCCTCTAAAGGCAAAAAAACATCTAAAAGTATTCAGATATTGTTAGCTACTTTCCTCTTACCTTCACTTTAGCAGGAGCATCATACCATGGAAGCTTATTCTTTGCAACTATCCAAAGTTCTACTTGCCTCTTTACTTCTTCTAAGTCATAATATTTAGGATCCACCACATACAGTGCCTTAGATCTAGGATGCCCAGGTTCCATGGACTCGGTCTACAACAAGAAACATAATCATAATATAATTTTCATCAAAATTTAACCAATATATTTGTTGCTAATTTGCTCTTACCTTACCAGGTTCATCATACCATGGTTTTAGATTAGTATCTTTCGCCCACACAGTTGTGGTCCAGTGGTACTTGAAAATTAGGGAAAGATTTGAAGGAACTAACACAGGTTCGATCCACTCTGGAAACAAAAAACACATCTGTGTGGGAAGTCTGGGAGGCCTAAGCAGTTTATCTGGTAGTCTAGTAACAGGCGATCTGGCTACCCCTGATATTAGTCGAAAATCATTCCAAACTCGGGACAGACAGTGTGGTAGTCCTTCGAGGAGAAATCCACTCTGAACCACTTCGGTGTGTTTCTACCGGGGCAGACCGAATCAGCCGATACGGTTTATCAAAAAAAAAAAAAAAAAAGATTAGTATCTTTCTTAGACATTGAATTAGATTTAACATTCTCGGATCTCTTGGACTCGGCCTATAACAACAAACTGAATCATTATCACAAATTTGTATAATTAACGAATATAGTAGTTTATATTAATTTGACTTGTCAGATTTTCTGATTAGTATATATAAACATGAAACTGACCTAAGGAGGCTGTTGAATGTTTTGATTGATCCAGCCACCAAATCCAGGATATACACTCATTTTGCTCTCAAATTTTGGTCCACAACAAATGATACATACCTAATCAGAACCAGAGCAACCAACGTACGTTTGTATATTATATATTTTGAGGAAATTGAGATTAGAGCTTGATTGCTTGATTAAGATTTAGACAAAATACAAAATGAAATTGTACGTTATGTTTTACGTACCGTGCAACAAAGAAGTGTGTCAGCTCCATTCCCGTGAGTTCTTGACGTATAAGCGAGATCTACCAGAAACCTGAAGAAGGAGGAGATCAAAGGTCGATAAATCCGTCCAAGTTTGATTTGTTTCTGAGAAAAATAAAGAAACAAGAGCACGATAGCTTTTGTCCTCTCCGTTTGATTTACTGAGAAAACCTAAATCATCCTCTTTTCTCTTAATTGTAAAATTAGATTTTGTAAGAAAATAACCCTTTTTCAAAAAAAAAAAGGAAAAAAAAAACAAAAGATTTTTTCCTTCTAATAGATTCTTCCTTGTTTTTAACGTTTTTGCCAAAGAAAAATCTCTTGTATTAAGAATTTTGTAGCTTCTGCAAAAAAAAAAAACCAAATTTTTTTTGCCTAAAAACCTTATCAGAATCAACTTTAGTCGTGAAGTAACCGTAGTCTAGTGACAAATGATAAGTCCGCTGAGAACATGCACCATTACACCAAAAAACGAGTCCCGCTCCCTACAAATGTAGGGATTTGGTTAATGCCAGTTGTGGTCTAATGTTTTTTTCTAAAACATGTCTAGTCAACTTTGACCGTTAGTATATGGAGATTCTAGTTGGAAACACTAAAATTTCATATGCAAAGGAATGACAAAAATTTACCTTTCATTTAAGTAAAAAACAACAGAATGATATCTTGTTTAAGGAAATAGATTGTATAATAAAGTAAGATTACAACAACATATATAACTGGTCCAAACGGGATTTAGGGCGTTTCACCATTGTGCCAAGCGATAATAAATTGTCTAATATCTTCGAGCAAAATCTTGGTGGCTTTGATGGTAATCCAACGGGTAACAAAAGAAACCGGTGGCACATTAAGAAGAGAAGAAGGCTGAAAGATTATCTCCATTGCCACCTTCGATGCAATCCTTCCCTGTCCACCGCTACATCTTTTGTATTCTTCCGGATTCTTCGGCTCAATGTGCTTGCACAAGCGTTCTGAATCTACGTATAGTGGGTCTATTTTCCAGCTACCCTCGAACATTTTCATGTACGTCATTTTATTTTTCTTTTTCGTAAATTTTGCCTAAGCAAGAGATTAAACCCAAGGTTAATTCACCTAAAACATAGCAGAAATGTGAAAGTCTTGTGAGGGATATATATACATAGAAGTTTTTCGTACTGTAAGATTTTGATGGTTTTCATCGATAATTAGATGAATCGGGATAGTTCCAGACCACAAAAGGAACTTCCATCTCAGAGCTTTCCTCACATCCGTGATCTGCCTCGGTCCATCCTTCTTCAAAACCTTTGTTGATTTGTTTTCCTTCATAAGAAAAAACACCACACTCTCAATTATTAGTATAGTATAAATTAATAATAATATACTCAATTTGAATCATACAACTATATGGAAAAAACAAACCAGGCGTTGTCGCCAACGCTTGTCAAAATCGAAGTATGTTATGTTTCTTGGATTAGTGAGCATCTCATAGACTCCTTGAGGAGGCTCTCCCAATGTAAATTTTATGTTCATATGACAAATACCATTTTTTGTTTCCACCTTCACATATCAAACATGTAAGAAAGTATTTAGATCTTACTTTTTTCTCTAAACACAAAAAAATCTTACAATTCTTTTGGATTTTTGTTTGCTGATTTTCTGTTTACCTTCACCTTAGCAGGAGCATCATACCATGGATTCTTCTTCTCTGTACCTAGCCAAAGTCCTGCTTGCCTCTTCAACTCATATACGTCATAATATTTAGGATCCACCGCATAATATAACCTCCGCATCAATCTGAATTAGATTTAACATTCTCAGATCTCCTAGACTCTGCCTATAACAACAAACAGAATCATGATCAGATTTGTATAGGTAACCAATTTATTAGTTTATATTGATTTGTGTTGTCGGTTCTCTGATTGAATGGAATGAAACTGACCTTTGGAGGATGTTGAATGTTCTGACTGAACCAGCCACCGAATTGAGGAAATACACTCATTTCTTTCAGAAATTTTCGACCGCAAACTATGCACTTACCTAATGACGATCCAATCTTTTTTTTTATGACGATCCAATCTTGTATGTTATGGTTTGAGGAATCTTAGATTAAAGGTTGATTCAGATTTAGACAAAATACTATATGAAGTTGAAAGCATGGACTATATACATTAGGCTTTACGTACAGAGAAACAAAGAAGTCGGAAGTATCAACTATCAACAACTACATCAACAATTGCATTCGCATGGTGATATCCACCAACTAACATATGTCAACACCATAGCCATTTTTTAGCATGTCAGAATCCGGCGACGTCTATTTAAGGATATTTTTCAAGTATCATGCGATTTTTCTATGTAGATGTCTAGTCTTATTTTTCAAGTTATATATAATTCTATTCAGCGCATCAAATATTAACATATCTATGTAAAAAAACTATAAAGTATTTTAAAGTTTATTTGTACATATTGATATTAAATTTTCTAAGATCTTCGAGCAAAATCTTGGTGGTTTTGATGGTGTACCCACGGATGATCCAAGAAAACGGTGGCAGATTAAGAAGAGAAGAAGGCTGAAAGATGTGCTCCATTGTCACCTTCGATGCAATCCTTCCTTTTCCGCGGCTACATCTTTTATATTTTTCTCGACACTTCGGCTCTCTCTGGTTGCACAAGCGTTCGGAATCTACGTATAGTGGCTCCACTTTCCAACTACCCTCGAACACTTTCATGCACTTCATTTTATTTTTCTTTTTCGTATATTTGGCCTAAGCAAGAGATCAAACCCATAATAATTTAACCAAAAACTGAACAAAAACAATTAGTTCTAGTGAGGGATAAGTCAAGAGAAAGTTTCTTACTGTAAGATTTTGATGATTTTAATCGATAATTAGATGAATAGGGATAGCTCCAGACCACATAATGAACTTCCATCTCAAAGCTTTTCTCACATCCGTGATCTGCCTCGGTCCATCTTTCTTCAAAACCTTTGTTGATTTGTTTTCCTTCATAACAAAAAATACAACACTCTCAATTATATATTTATATCATTTATCATCACTCAATTTAAATTATAAGACTATATACTATTAACAAACCAGACGTTGTCGCCAACGTTCGTCCTTAATGAAGAATGATATGTTTCTTGGATTAGTGAGCATCTCATAGACTGCTGGAGGAATTACTCCAATTGTGAATTCTATGTTCATATGGCAAAGACCATTTTTTGTTTTCACCTTCAAACATGTAAGAAAGTTTTTTTCGCAAATCTAGCAATTCCTCTAAATACAAAAAAAAAAAAAAAAAAAAAAAAACCAAAAAATGTTATGTGATTTTTGTTTACTGATTTTTTATTACCTCCACCTTGGCAGGAGCAGGATACCACGGATGCTTCTTCTTCTCTCCATGCCAAAGTTCTGATTGCCTCTTCATATCATTTACGTCGAAATATTTAGTATCTACCGCATGCAATGGCTTAGATCTAACATCCCCAGGTTCCATAGCTGCCGTCTACAACAAGAAACAAAATCTTAATCTAATTTTTATAATTAACTGATATCGTATTTTTATATTGTTTGCTGATTTGCTCTTACCTTACCAGGTTCATCATACCATGGTTTTAGATTAGTATCTTTCTCTGACACTGAATTAGATTTAACATCATCGGATCTCCCAGTGTCAGCCTACAACCACAAAAAAAAATTATAGTAGTTTATATGATTTGACTTGCTGGGTTCTCTGGTTGATGGAAATGAAACTGACCTCAGGACGCTCTTGAAAGTTCTGATTGATCCAGCCACCAAATCCAGGAAATACACGCATTTCTCTTTGAAATTTTAAGTCCACAAAGGAAACTTAACCTAATCCGATCAAAGGAAAATGACGATATAAAGCTTGTATCTATGAAAGTTTTGAATCTTTGATGAAGGCTTGATTCATATTTAGACGAAATATGTGTAGCTGAAAAAAATGGTGTTCGTATACGTTTACTTACCGTGTAACAAAGAAGTGCACAGCTCTAATCTCGTGAGTTCTTGACGAATAAGAAAGAAGCTTCTGGAATCGTCTTCCAGAAGTCAATCCTTCGTCAAGAGTCAAGACATTATATATATATAAATGCACATTTCTTCATAGATTTAGTTATTTAGGGTTGCTTTTGGTTTTATTACTGTTCAGCAAAACTTTGCTTTTTTTTTTTTGAGAAATTTAAATTTTGCTTCCTTGATTTCTTTTCTGATTTACATGTAAAGTTTTATTGGAATGTCAATTTATTGTTTATAAAATAAAGGGTTTTGTGCAAAAAAACCCTCGAAGTAACCAATTTTTGCAAGAAAACCCTCCATCTCAAATAAATGCAAGTCAATACCACCATCTCAAAAGTCACCCGCAATATAGCACTCGCGTGTATCGATGACGTGGCAGCCGTTAACTCCGTTCCAAAACGGCACGACAAGTGAACTTTTGTGCAAGAGGAGTCTCAAAGTAGTCAAGTTTTGCAAGAAAACCCTCAAAGTAGCCAAATTTTGTGCAAAAAAAACCCTCAAAGGGCCGAGAGGTTGTTTTGAAAAAGCGACTGTTGGAGAATTCGATTGTACAGGGAAGCAAAGGAAACAATATGTTAATAATCGATTTTGATATCTTCTTAAATTTATGATCATTGGCATGATCAAAGTAAGACATGGTGGAGCCATTTATACGAGAAGGAAAAATCTAGGGTTTAACAGAAGAATTCTGTAAAACCCGAACCCGTACCCGAATTTAAAATACCCGAAAGGTTTTTTTTTGCAAAAATTGGTTTAATGAAGGGTTTTTTTGCAATTTGGCTACTTCGAGGGTTTTTTTGCACAAACCCACTGACGGAGTTAACGGCTGCCACGTCATCGATACACGCGAGGGCTATATTGCGGGTGACTTTTGAGATGGCGGTATTGACTTGCATTTATTTGAGATGGAGGGTTTTCTTGCAAAAATTGGCTACTTCGAGGGTTTTTTTGCACAAAACCCTAAAATAAATTATAGACTTATTTCGGTTAAATAATCAAGTTTTGTTCAACAAAGAAAGAAAGTGTATATATTTTCATGGGGTATCTTTATTACTGGTAGCGTTTAGGTAGTGAAATACTAAATTGAAATATACGATCTTAAAAGCTAGATTTAACCAAAATATGTAATATACAGGCCTGTGTTGGTGTTTTGTCATATCCAGATTTTTTCACTTAATGCATGTTTAACAAAGAAAAGGAGTTTATTCTTGAACGTTTTTGTTTGTAATCCCGGTCAACAATTAATTTATATTTTCTTTCTGAAATCAGTAAAAACTGTTTACCAACATATCATATATATATATAAAAGGAAACCAACTCTCTCCATGAGAGTGACACATCAGCGCATGTGAGACTGCCATGTGGTCCTGAAAAAAATTTCATTAATTGACTATTTATTAAAAAAAAACAGAATCGTAAAATGATTTATTATATATATTTAACAATTTATTATTATATATAATTAGGCTTCTTGGCTTTATTTTGTTGATTGTTTGTGTTTTCTCAATAAAAAAGACAAAAAAAACGGACAAAGATGAAAACCCCAATTACAATAGAAACCCATCATATCAAATATTTAATTGATATCTTGAGTCAAGATGGATCTAACTTTATAACAATATAAGATGGATTTAATTTTATTACATAAAAACACACAAGAAAATGTACATAACTAAAAGAAAATCTAACATAATTTTTTTGAACTATTTTTAAATAATAACCCCACGCGTAGCGTGGGTACTCACCTAGTATAAGATAAAAGACGAAATGTATCGGAAATATGTGATCTTATAGTCTCATGGCTGGTTAAGCTCTTTTAATTAGTTACAAACTCTTCCATTCCTTAATGAAATTATCATAATTATCAAACAAAAAAAAGTAACCTTATATATCATTTATCCGATCCACATGCATGCAAGTATGCAACACCTTTTTTTTTTTTTTTCATGCAACACATTTATTATGCATGTCATGGACTATGGAATGGAGGGCATCGCGGTTGGCCTAAGGTAACTCACGTCCCAAAGTCAATTCGAACTAAGGAAAAAAAAAACAAATTAAGATACATATGCATATTCGTTGATAAAAAAGAAGAAGAAAAAAAGATGCATATGCGTATAACGTATTCAAGTTATAGTTTTCCATGTTTGTTGCTTTGAGGTATTTATAATTACAATATAGACTTATTCTCGAACCACGACACTCGCATGTTGAAGCATTTTTAGCAGAGTTATGGTGGTCCTAATAGTGATATCACGGATGAACCAAGAAAATGGCGGTAAATTAAAAGGAGGATATGGCTGAAAGTATTGGTCCATTGTTACTTTCGATGCAATCCTTCCTTGTCCGCCACTACATATTTTGTATTCTTGCGGACTCTTCGGCTCATTGTGCCTGCACAAGCGTACTGAATCTACATATAGTGGCTCCACTTTATAGCTACCATCGAATACTTTCATGAACATCATTTTCTCTTTTTTATATTTCGCCTGTCCACAACAAGCAAGAGAACCCCAAGTTAAACTTCACCAATATACAAAACAAAAATAGTGACGCTTATCAAATAAACATACAAACTATTGATTATTAATTGTGAGATCTAGAATAGCTTCTTCTTACTGTAAGATCTGTTTGGTTTTCTTCCACAATTAGTTCTATCGGGATAGCTCCAGACCACCAAAGGAAGTCCCATGCCACAGGTTGCTCCACCTTCACGATCTACCTCCGTCCATCTTTCTTCAAAACCTTTCTTGATTTGTATTCCTTCATCAGAAAAATATCACACTCTCAAGTACTACTATCAATAATACCACATTCGAATCATAGAATAATAGGTAAAAAGACCAGAAGTTGACGCCCATGCTTGTTCATATCGAAGAAGAGTGGGCCGTCATTTGGATTAGTGAAAAGTTCGAAGACTCCATCAGGATACCAGCCCAATGTCAGTTCTATGTTCATATGGCATAGTCCCTTTTTTGTTGTCAACTTCAAAATAAAAATAAAAAGCTTTCATTAAACCTAGGTAGTTTCCTTGCCAGTTTTTTTTTTTCAAAAACAAGGCCAACTAAACCGCAGTTGATTTTTTAGATCCTCATTAAGCCAAATATACATTAAATCCGATAATCTCGGATCTTGAATTCTACCAATTCCTATTAGCAGATCTCCTAGCTAGCTAGTAAAAAAAGAAAAGAAATTGTACTCATTTTATTAGGAAAGTTAACTTATTTTCTAGGTCAATCCTAAGTCTTATCTCTTGTGTTAATACTATATTAACATACTTCAATAAACTCATACTTTCCAATTCACAATATTGGCATGATTTCAGGGCCAAGTTTAAACCTAGAGAATATGCTAACGTTCCTAATGAGATAAGTAAAATTTCTTTTTTTTTTTTTTTAACTAGGATTCTCCTAATAATGCTTTCTAAAATCCAAGTATTGAGATGTTGTTAGCTTATTTGCTTTTGTTACCTTAACCTTAGGAGGGGCATCATACCATGGCTGCTTCTTCTCTGCATCTATCCAAAGTTGTCCTTGTTTCTTCATCTCCTCTTTGTCATAATGTAGTTCTTGATCATTACTATCTTTCTCTGACACTGAATTAGTATTAACATCCACAGATCTTTTGGACTCAGCCTACAATAACGAACATAATTTCTAATAGTTTATACTAATTTGACTTGTCGGATTCTCAGATTGATGGAAATGAAACTGACCTTAGGAGGTTCTTGAATGTTCTGATTTATCCAGCCACCAAATCCAGAAAATACCCTCATTTTTGCCCTCAAATTTTGGTCCACAAAAGATATTTACTCAATCAGACAGACCAAGAGCAAAAAAAGGTACAATGTTTGTATATATTAAGTTTTGAGGAATAAAAGCTTGGTTGAGATTTAGAAAAATACAATACAAAACTAAGGTAATGGTGTACGTTAGGTTTTACGTGTGGAAAAACAAAGTATGGGCAGCTCCATTCTCGTGAGTTTTACGTATTGAATAAAGAAGGAAGTTATTTCCCTTATTCCGTGTGTATTTAGCAGTCGAGACGTTTATGAGACTGATGTTTGCTTTCACGGAACAAGGATTAGTCAAGTTATTTCCCTTATTCCGGTCACTTTAGTCACTGACTGCTTTAAATTTAATTAGCTGGCCGTGGGCACCAGTTTTTTTTTTTTTTTTTTTGCCATGTTTGTTGCTATATTGTTTGAGTACTGAATGACGAAGAGGTTACTATTTGGAGAATTAAATGAAGTATACCTAACACGAATGTCAGGTATCCACATTAGCCGTCCCAAAGGCTTTGTTCAATCTATTTGTTTTGCAAAGTTTTGATATCAAAACAGCGTATCTATTTCTTTAGTTTAATGAAAACCTTTTACCAAAAAAAAACAACAATATTCACATAAACAGTATACCTAACAATATATTTGATATTGTTTTGTTCGTTAAAGTACTAAAACGTATAAAATTTTATATTGTCCCCTAATCGAATAAACTGTTTACTGAAATAACTTGTCCATTTCGATTTTGGGGCTTTCAAACTTTCCGTAAAGAGGTACCCGCTTTTCTAAGATCTTCGAGCAGAATCTTGGTGGTTCTGATGGTGATCCCACAAATGATCCATGAAACCGGTGGTAGATTAAGAAGAGAAGAAGGCTGAAAAATCTGCTCCATTATAACTTTCGACCCAACTTTTCCTTGTCCACCGCTACATATTTTGTATTCTTTTCGACTTTTTGGCAACCTTGGCTTGCACAAGCGTTCCTGATCTACGTAGTCTGGCTCAACTTTCCAGCTACCCTCGAACACTTTCATTAAAATCATTTTCTTTGTCGTATATTTTGCCTATGCAAGATATATTGATCAAACACTAATTAATACATCCAAAACTGAACTAATTAATATATCCTGATTTTAGAGGATATATGTAAGCTTTCTTACAGTTAGATTCTTATGGTTTTCGTGGATTATAAGATGTATTGGGATATCTCCAGAACACCCAAGAAAGTTCCAGGACAAAGCTTTTTCCACCTCTGTGGTCTGCCTCGGTCCATCCTTCTTCAAAACCTTTGTTGATTTGTTTTCCTTCATTGGATAAAAAGGACCACACTCTCAGTTGTTGCTTAATTATTGAATAGTAATTCATACTCAGTTTACAAGTATATGAAAAAAACACACCAAACGTTGGCGCCCGTCCTTGTCCTCTTTGAAGAAAGGAAAGTTGTTTGGATTAGTGAACATCTCGTAGACTGCTTCAGGAGGCAATCCCAATTTGAATTCTATGTTCAAATGGCAAAGACCTTTTTTTGTTGTCACCTTCAAACATTTAAAATGTAAGAAAGTTTTTAGATATTTTCTCTTAATCTTTGCAACTCCTCTTAAAGGAAATAAATTTCTAAAAGTATTGAGATTTTGTTTCCTTATTTGGTCTTACCTTCACCTTAGCTGGTGCATCATACCATGGATGCTTCTTCTCTGCAGCTCTCCAAAGTTTTGATTCCTTCTTTACCTCAGCTAAGTCATAATATTTAGGGTCTACCGCCCACACAGAATTAGATGCGGGGTTCTTGGACTCGACCTACAACAACAAACAGTACTATTCTACATTTGATTTGACTTCCTCGAGTTCTATGATTGATAGAATTGAAACTGACCTCATGCGGCTCTTCAACATGAGGATTGATCGATCCACTAAATCTAGGAATTACACTCATTTTGTTTCTCAAAATTTAGTCCACAAACTATACTACCCTAATCAGAGTTAGAGGAAATGAAAGAGACGTATAAGAAGGCACAAGGGAAAACTAAAAGGGGCAGCTCAATTTTCATGAGTTTCTGACGTACAGGGGACCTTCAATTCAATCCTAACTCATGAAATAAACTACATGAATCCTAAATTCTAAATTTTCCTCTTGTCCCTTCAATTCAATCCTTAGATGTGTATAGTTCGATTTGATTTACAATCCTTGAGTCAACATTATTTCACAATAAAAAAAAAAAAATTATTTTCACAGTTCATAAGATTTTAAAACTTATTTCCGTCTACTCACAAAAGAAGCTATAATCGTATGATTGAAGTTACCTTTTCAAATTTTTGATTTCGTTTTTTTTTTTTTTGTTATGGGTTTTCAAGTTATTTAGAGTTCTTCGTTATTTTTAGATTCTATTTATTTTTATTTATTTGGGAATTAATTGTTTTGTTCCTAATTTCAGTTGGTTTTCTTTGAGTATATTGAGATCAAAGGGTGTTGAGATCAAACATTTTTTAGATCATTAAAAGCATGCTTTTGACTCTGGTCTCATCTTGATTTATTTGTCGACGAGAAGCACTTTCCGTACTATTCACGTCATGACGCATCCGATTGAACCGTTTCCATCCTTTTATGTTGTACCAGATATATTGGTATAGAGCTTTGTTACAACTTACAACATACATATGTGTGATCAGTTAGGTTAGTGATTTCTATGTTTGTTGCTTGATGCCTTTATAACATTGTTATCTAGAGACTCACTCTCGTAGTACAACACTCGCATGTTGAAGCATTTTGAGCAGAGTTTTGGTGGTCCTGATGGTGATATCACGAATGAACCAAGAAATTGGTGGCAGATTAAAAGGAGTATATGGCTGAAAATATTGGTCCATTGTTACTTTCGATGCAACCCTTCCTTGTCCGCCACTACATGTTTTGTATTCTTGTAGACTCTTAGGCTCCTTATGCTTGCACAAGCGGACTGAATCTACGTATAGTGGCTCTATTTTCCAGTTACCTTCGAAAACTTTCATGAACATCATTTTCTCTTTCTTATATTTTGCCTGTCCTCCATAAGCAAGAGAATCCAAGTTATAAAATTCACCAATACAAAATAAAAAATAGTGATATTTATCAAAAAAACATACAGAAATATTTCTTGTTGTCAGGGGAATAGAAAAGCTCCTTACTGTAAGATCTTTTTTGTTTACATCGACAATTAGATGTATCGGAAAATCTCCAGACCACCAAAGAAAGTCCCAAGCCACAGCTTTCTTCAATCTCACGATCTGCCTCGGTCCATCCTTCTTCAAAACCTTTCTTGATTTGGTTGCCTTCATCAAAAAATATCACACTCTCAAGTACTACTATAATTAATACCACATTATTCGAAACATACAATTATAGAGGGAAAAGAAAACCAGAAGTGGGCGGCCATTCATGTCCATATCGAAGAAGAGTGAGCCGTTACTTGGATTAGTAAAAAGTTCATAGACTCCATCAGGAGTCAAGCCCAATGTCAATTCTATGTTCATATGACAAAGACCCTTTTTTGTTGTAACCTTGAAATACAAAAAATAAAGAATTATTTACACTCTTTTTTTTTAACGAATTCCTTTAAAGATCTAAGTATCGAGATTTTGTTAGCTCATTTGCTTTGACTACCTTCACCTTAGGAGGTGCATCATACCATGGATGCTTCTTCTCCGCAGCTTTCCAAAGTTCATGTTGCCTCTTCATTTCCTCTTCTTCATAATTTAGTCCTTCCTCATTATTAGTATCTTTCTCTGAAACTAAATTAGATTTAACATTCTCAGATCTCCTGGACTCAGCCTACACAACAACAAACAGAGTTTATTTTATTTTGAATCAATGTAACTTTTCAGGTTCTCTGAATATTGATGGAAATGAAACTGACCTTAGGAGGCTGTTGAATGTTCTGATTGATCCAGCCACCAAATCCAGGAAATACACTCATTTCTTTCTGAATTTATTTACCATGCACAAACTATACTTACCTAATCAGAGCAAATGCAAATGACGATTAAAACTCGTATATATTATGATATTGATTTGGAAAGAAAAAAAATAAAAAATGAAAGTCATGAAACTGAGATAAAGATTGATGGTTTACGTTATGTTTTACGTAAGGAGAAACAAAAGAAGTGGGCAGCTCCATTCTCGTGAGTTTTACGTATTGAAGAAACAAAGAAGTTATTTTCCTTCTTTAGTATGGATTTAGTGGTCAAGATGTCGATATATTGGAGACTGGCGCATGCTTTCACGGAAGCAGAATTCGTCAACTCGACTAATTAGTCGGGTTGCTTTGATAGAAATTGTTTTTTTTTTTTTTTTTCTCTAATTAACCTGACTAGATCCATTGACAAAAGAATCCGAAACCGGCTAAGCACTTTGGCGGGTTCAATACTCTTTGAAGGAGGACTTCAATATTGGTTTCAAACTCGTGGCACTTAATTGTTTCTTGTCTCTAGTTTTCTAAAAATTCAAATCTTTGATTTCTAGATGCATTCATTCTAAAACAGTTTTTTAGGTGAATACAATTTTACATTCATACAAAAAAAAAATTGTTTTTTTTCAATATGATCCGCATATGGTCAAATTGATTTATCGATTTTTAACTATAGAATAAATTCTATCTAGTTTTGTAAATTCTGATAAAATATTCCACTTTTTCATACAAAAAAAAAAAAAAAATTCCACTCTGCCTAATATTTCGTCCCGCATTATGGTTCCATATATACTTCCATCAGTACCAAACTTATCATGTCCGTTTGATATACTTGAAAAAATCAGTACAATGGAAAGAAACGTAAATCCTCCTATCTTCCTGATATTTCAATCATTGGCTGCCTTGAATTTAATTAGCTGGTATGTTTGTTACATAGTTTAATTAAGGGTTTTCCGATTTTTAACCAATTAGTATTCCGATGTTCGGCTTTATATAAAGTGAGTCTTTCTTTTTCTTGGACAGAACGTGATTTTTTTTACAGTATTCCAATATTATTTGAGATTAATGTTTGTATAAAAATGGCGTAACTAGCAAATATCGGATTGGAAAGAGTTTCAAACGCTTCTGATAACGGCGGCCTGAATTTGAAGATCTTCGACTAGAGCCTTGGTGGTCTTGACTGTGGCCCTACGGATGTACCAAGAAATCGGTGGCAGGTTAAGATAAGAAGAAGGCTGAAAAGACTGGTCCAATGTCACTCTCGAGCCAATCAATCCTTTTCCACCAGTACACTGTCTATATTCTTCTCGATTCTTTGGGAGCCTAGGCTTGCAAAAGCGCATGTTATCTACGTACCATGGCTCTATTTGCCACTTACCATAGAACCTTTTCATGAACATCACGTTCTTTTTCGGAATCATATATAATGCCTGTCCACAGTAAGCAACATATATAAACCAAATTAAAAAAAAAAATTAAACATTACTTGATATACGGAAACTTCGGGCCAAAGCAGGCCCATAAATCTTTACAAACTTTGATCTTTGTGGTAGATATAGAGAAAATTTCTTACGCTGAAATCTTTTCGACTCTCATTGAAAGTTAGATGTACCGGGATAGATCCAGACCACCAAAGGAACCTCCAGGGAGCAGCTTTTTCCACCCTCACGTGCTTCTCTGTCAGTCCAAGATCGCTAAAAACCTTACTTGATACGTGTTCCTTCATAAGAAAAATGTCACATTCGCAAGTACTGCTAATTATTAATACTCAAATCGAAAGATACAATAACAAGAAGTAAGAAACAAATACCAGAGTTTGGGGCTTCCCTTTTTTCATCATTGTGAAATATGATGGGTTCTCATAACTAGTGAGTATATCGAAGACTGCTTCAGGAGGCAATCCTATTGTAAATTTCATGTTCAAATGGTAAAGATCCTTTTCCTTTGTCACCTTCAAACATAAAAGATATAAGAAATTTGTTTAGTAATTTTTTTTTTTATCTAGTTCCACCATTTTTTACTGTTTTAAGGAAGGCCCAGTAGTTTTCATTTCATGTAACTATAATCAATGATTAAGAAATCAATTCGTTTATTTTAGGGAATCCCATAGTATTATTAGGCTTGGGCGTTTGGGTATTCGGTTCGGTTCTAGAACCGAACCATTTGGTTCCAAGTATTTTGGTTCTGAGATTTAGAAACCATATTGGAACCATATCAATATCGGTTCGGTTCTAGTTTGGTTTCTATTCGGTTCGGTTCGGTTCGGGTAATAAATTTTGGAACCGATTAGGAACCAAACGGTTTTGGATATTTTTGGAACCGAAAAAACAATAGAATTATAATGCAAAATTCAAATGCAATTATGCAATACAACATCACATATTAGTCTTCGTACCATTACAAATTCAAAAAATAGTTGAAACTTGAAAAGTATTAAGTCAAAAGACACCCAAAGTTTCAAAAATACCACAAAACACAAGTTTTAAAAAGACACCAAAAGAAGCTTTGTCTTCGATTTGCAATGATTCGAAAGAGAGAGTTGTTGTCTGCGGCGTCTCCTTCTTTGAGAAAAAGATAACAAACTAGGGTTTCTCTTTAGGTTTCAGAGAAATATATAAGAGGCTAAGAGAGATATATGGTAGGTTGTTAGGCTTGGGTAGTTAGATTTATGTCTAGATGAGTTTGAAACTTTGGATTATATAAATATAGGTTAATGGGCTATATTTTTTAGGTACCCGAATGGATATCGGTTCCTACCCGAACCGAATCGATACACATGGTTCTTTGATTCAAGATCAGATTAATATTTTCACTAGAACCGGAACCGAACCGTACCCATCAATTTCGGTTCGGTTCGGTTCGGTTCTATGTGGATCCATATTTGTGCCCAGGCCTAGTATTCATAATCGTCAAAATTTTAGATATTTTCAAATATCTATATCATTTATTTGCAGCTTCTAGAAATTTACCCAAACAAAAGATTAGATCACTTTAGAGCATCATTATAGGGGGGATGTTAGCTGAATCTTAGGTATTAAAGTTTTTTAAATTAATACTTTAATAAGCTAAGGAACGTTCCTTAGCTTATTAAAGTATTAACTATTTAATTTAAGAGAAATTGTTAAAAATGCCCCTTTTTCAATACCCCTTTTCAAAAATGCCCCCTTTGAGAGTCCATTTTTAAGTTTGCCCTCTTTTAATTTTTAATGACCATTTTACCCTTATTTGAAACAAAATTAGGTCCACAAAATACAAAATATTTTTTGGCGGGAAAAGTGATCCCGCAATTTTCCCGCCAAAACACTTATAAATACCTTGTAAAAAACCTTTAAAATACCTTGTAAATTTTTGGCGGGAAAATTTTTCCCGCCAAAAATTTAACGCCAAAAAAATTGCGGAATCACTTTTCCCGCAAAAAAAATTTTTTGGCGGGAAAATTTTTTGGCGGGAAAAATTTTACGGGAAAATTTTACAAGGTATTTTAAAGGTTTTACAAATTTTTACAAGTGTTTTGGCGGGAAAAATTGGGGGATCACTTTTCCCGCCAAAAAATATTTTGTATTTTGTGGACCTAATTTTGTTATATTTCTTTATATATTTATGATATCTTTTATTAAAAGAAGGGTAATTTAGTCATTTTGTACATAAAAGGGGTTTTTTTAAAAATGGACATCCAAAGGGGGCATTTTTGAAAAGGGGTATTTAAAAAGGGGCATTTTTGTAAGTCTCCCTTAATTTAAATCACTTTAATACCTAGGAAGTGCCACGTGTCACGTTTTGATTGGGCGGATTTCACATATTCTACAGATACGCCTTCTAATTTCTTCGATAATAGAGCTCGAGTTCGTGATCGAGGTATGCATCAACAATTGAAGAATGATTTGGTCGAGCATATATGGACAAAATATAAAAGAAATTAAGTTTAAAATATTTGTGATTTATGTTATAAATTGTATCTCATGTATGTTTTAATTTTTTTAATTTGCAACAATTATTAATTTTTCTATAATTATAAATTTTATTTTATATTAATATTTTTTTTTCTAAGAACCACATGTTAAGAACCTACCATTAATCAAACAAAAATCTTAACTCAAAAATACTATCTCTTAACAATCACTTTTACAAATAAATTATTTAAATACTAGGATCGGACCCGCGGTCCACCGCGGGAGAATATTGGTTTACATACGTTGCGTTTAATATTGTATGTGTTTTTAGTAGAACGAATCGTGTAGTATACTTATAAATATTCATAATAACGAATTGTAGAGAAAATGTAAAATTGTTTATAAATATACCCATCGTATTAATTATGATTTACAAAATTAAATTTTGTGTTTTAAAATTCTAAAATTAGACGATTCATGGGAATTAGAGCAGTCAAAATAGGTCAAAAACCGCGGGTCGAGCCCACATCATCTCACTATAGGGCAGATTTGGGAAAATATATTAAACCCGCAAATAAGCGGGCCACATGGATTAATTCGCAGTGGGTCATAGGTTTAATCGGTTTTCATCTGCGGGTTGGCGGATCAGCCCGCATATTAGTATTTATTGATAAAATTATAATTTATTCAACATGTGGTAATTTAAACAAACTTTTAATAGTATTTTGATTTATTTATTTATTTTAGTAGTATTTTAAATTTTGGTTACTTTAAAATTATTTAAACAAAATCCATGGACAATCCCGCAAATCCGCATACATTCGCGGGACGGGTTTGTATTTCATATATGCTACCCGCGGGTTGTGCGGACCGACTAACTACAAGTCAAAATATTTTTTGTCTATCGCAAAACGGATTTAACGGGACGAATCAACTCGCTTTGACAGTTCTAATGGGAATATTATTTAGTCATACAACAAAATGAAGTTTGGACATCGTAATAATAGAATATGTATCTTATTTGTTAGATGAGAGATTAAAAGATGAAGTATAATGATTAAAAATTAATTATTATTTTTCATGATTCACAAAATTTAATAAATACTTATCATCTTGTTGAATAATTCTAAAATCATATTCAAGAAATCTTTATAAATTGAAAATTAAACTTCTTTGGTAAGCTATAGATATGAAAATATCATAATTTCGATTTAATCTAATTAAATTAAAATTAGTTACATGGATTTCATATCTATTTAATTTACACGACTAAAATAAAAATATCAATTTAACTTATAAAACAGATGAGTTATTTGTGATAAATTTTCTAGAAATCTTTAGAAGCAAGTAAAATATCTTTCAATTAATGATAATTGGCTAAAATGGGCGAAATTAATGACAAAAACGTTGATTGTTATGGAATTAATCCCAAAAATATATGAACAAATTTATTATACGTAATTAATGTATAATATTGTTTGGAATATGCTTTTATTATTAGTTACCATAAGTACAATCAGATTTTATTTGATTTCCATAAATATTTGATTTTATTTCGATTTTTCATTATTAATTCGAATTTATATTCCAAAAAAATTTCAAAGATCCGATTTCAGAATTTCGGGTCAATTTTCTGATTTTAACTCGACCCATTTTCATTTGTACTTCTCTTTTAATAGTATAGAAATTACGAAGATCTATCTCTAAGAAACTACCTATAATGATGCTCTTACGACACAGACTAAACAGCGTGCTGCTTGTATTTAATTTACGTTGTCGGCGTAGTCACGTAGCGGACTTTCACACTAAATACTTATAGTTAATTCTATTAACAAACTAACAAAATATCATAGACAACTCTTAATCAAAGATTTTATTGTCATGTTTAGGTAGTCAGTAAGAATGACATTTGGTAGAAAATCATATAAAATGTTATGATCCCTAGTACGAAGGGATAATATGTAACTAGGCCTAAAATCTCTTATTCATTAAAAAAAAAAACGTTCAACTAGAAGGATTTTCTTTGAAAAAAAATAAATAATAATAATGGCATTTTCGATGTATTTTAACGCCTGTAAAATCGAAAGTATAAAAAACAAGCACTTTGATGAGTCGGAATATTTATTAACCCGAAAATTGTATATAAAATAAAAAAATACTTTCATATTGAATTTTAAATAAATTGTATGTTCTTTCTTTTTTGAAAGTATAAATTATATGTTCTTATAAAGTAAAATTTAATATTATGTCACGATAATATGGCCACACACATGTTTTTCATGGATCAACCGTCACGCCAAATCTAAGAAAGGAGAATTTCTTGTTGGTTTGTGATCTTACTTACCTTCACCTTAGGAGGATAATCATACCATGCAGAATCCTTCTCTGAAGCTCTCCAAAGTTTTAGTTGCTTCTTTAATTCTTGTCTGTCCTCAGGATAAGTCTCTGACACTGACTTAGGTTTAACATTCCCAGATTTCTTGGAATCGACCTAGAAAAACAAATAGAATCATAACTTCATGTTGATTTGACCTCCTAGGGTTCTCTGATAGATGGAAATGAAACTGACCTCTGGAGGCTGTTGTGTGTTCTGATTAATCAAACCAGGAAATATACCCATTTCTCTCTGAAAATGTAGTCTACAAATGATGCTTACCTGATAAAAACAAGAGCAAACGACAATCCAAAGCTTGTGTATATGAGGAATATTGTAATATAAAGTTTATTTAAATTGAAAGAATATAATAGCTGAGGGGCTGGTGGTGGAGGAGTGTACGTATACAGCGAAACAAGAAGTGAGCAGCTTGATTTTAGTGAGTTCTTGACGCAGAGGCTAGACCTACCTAAAGAAAGAGGAGATTAAAGGTTCGTGAGCAGTCTGTTGTTCTAATTTGTAAAATCTTATAACTTTTCCCGTTTTCACAACATGAAACAAAATAAAAATTTGATGTCAAATTACGAAATAAAAATTTGATGGAAAATTATATAATCGAGACTTTTCGCATAAAGATGCAAATATAAACCATGATTTTTGTGTAGGAATTTCGGAATCAATATTTGATGCAAAATAATATATATGACATAATATAATGTTGTTGACAAACAAAAATAAATACCGCCTAAATCTTAAAATCACATCATTGTGATTTGTTGCATATATAGCATTATCATGATTTGGCGACATTGCAGAATGAATGTAGAGCTTAAAATTACAAATCATAAATGTAATTTGTGATTATCAGATTTTTATGCTGAAGATGCAAAATCCAAGAACGGTGAGTCTAGAGGTCAAGGTGATAAAATAAACAACTAAATTCATATTGCATCTTTTTGGTCATTAAAGAAAAGTATTTCAGTTTTTAGTTTTGAAGATTAGTGTCTTATGGAGCCACATCGAGTAGATTCTTGGTGGTTTTGATGGTGATCCCACGGATGATCCAAGAAAAGGGAGGAAGATTAAGAGGAAAAGAAGGCTGAAAGATCTGCTCCATTGTCACCTTTGATGCAATCCTTCCTCGTCCCCCACTACATTTTTTGTACTCTTCTCGACTCTTGGGCTTAATTTGCTTGCACAAGCGTTCTGAATCTATGAAAAGTGGCTCCACTTTCCAGCTACCCTCGAAGACTTTCATGAACTTCACGTTCTTTTTCTTATAATTTCCCTTAAAAAAAATATCAAATCCAAATTAATTCACCCTAAAAGCTAACAAAAAGAATTGATTCTTGTGAGGGATATAGAGAAATTTCTTACGGTAAGATATTTTTGGTTGTCTTCGACAATTAGACTTATTGGGAGAGCTCCAGAGAACCAAAGGAATTTCCAGGATACAACTTTCTCTACCTCCGCAATCCGCCTCGGTCCATCCTTCAGCAAAAGTTTTCTTGATTTGTTTTCCTTCAAGAAAATTCACACTCTCAAGTAGGTGCTATATTTTATACACAATATTTAATCATACATTGATGAAAAGAAAACCAGAAAGTTGTGCCCATCGAAGTCTTGGAAGTATTGGTTGTTGAGTGGATTAGCGAATAATAAGTAGACTGATTCAGGAACTCTTCCTTTCGTCAATTCTATGTGCATATGGTAAAGACCTTTTTTTCTTGTCACCTTCAAACATAAAAAAAAAATACAAGACATTAAAAAGATTTTTTTTTTTAATTTTATCAATTCATCTAAAGGCAAAAAAACCTCAAGTTTTTAAGTTTTATTTGCTGATTTGCTATTAATTATTACCTTCACCTTAGGAGGAGCATCTTTCCATGGATACTTTTTGTCTTCCTCTATCCAAAGTTGAACTTGCTTATCCACTTCATCTTTATCATAGTATTTAAATTCTAACGGTGGCTCTGAATTAGATTCAACATTCTCAGATCTCTTGGACTCAGCCTATAAAAAAAAACAAACAGAATCATAATCTCTTTGCATCTATTTGACTTTTTGGGTTCTCTGATTGATTGATGGAAAATAATAACTAACCTTAGGAGGTTGTTGACTGTTTTGATTGATCCAGCCACCAAATCCTGGAAATACACTCATTTCTTTCTCAAGTAATTAGTCCACAAATGATACTTATCTGATTAGAGCAAGAGAAAATGACTATCCAAGCTTATGGTTTGAGAAACCTTAGATAAATGCTTGTGTTAGATTCAGAAAGAAAAAAAGAAGAAAACAATATGATATTGGAGAAGTGTACATTACGTATCGCGAATCAAAGAAGTGGGCAGCTTGATTCTCATGAGTTCTTGACGTATAGGCAAGAACAACATGAAGACAAATAAAATGAAGGTTTTAAACAACTGTAATTTGTGAAGTTTCGAACTGAAAATTCAAATTGCATGATTTTGTTTCGAAAATCATGAAATTATGACTCACCGCCAAAATTGCATAATATTGGTCCGACATACGAATAAAGTTACAATAGTATGGATTTAGTGTAAAAACTGCAAAGTCACATAATCTTGATCTGTTGCATTGGAATCGAGGAACTAGTTTTACGCTAACAACTCAAGAATGCGATTAGGTCCTTAGGTGCAAAATGAGTAATATATATATATAGATTTAACACTAAAATTTGATAATTGTTGTGAACTGTTCATCTTATTAATAGAATAAGAGATATATATACAAGAACAATAGCAGGATACAGAGAATAAGGTAAAACCTTAATGGGCCATGGGCCGATTATGGAGTTCATCCATATGGTTTATAACACTCCCCCTTGAAAGACATAACCGTGCCCGATACTAAACCGGGATCTCTATAATGCGCTGGGGAATGTTGCCTCATTAAAACCTTACCAGGAAAACCCAGTGGGACAAAACCATGGTGAAGGAAAAAGAGTACAACACGCATTACTCCCCCTGATTTGAGCATCACTGTAGATCCTTAAGTCCGCACATTCCGATCTGATGAATGAGCTTCCGGAACGTTGAAGTCGGCAATGATTTGGTGAATAGGTTGGCTGAATTCTCACTTGACCGGATCTGTTGAACTTTGACCTGACCGTCCTTCTGTAATTCATGAGTGAAGAAGAACTTGGGCATAATATTTTTCGTTCGATCCCTCTTAGTGTAGCCATCCTTGAGTTGAGCAATACAGGATGTGTTATCTTCAAATATGATGGTCTTTGATGTAGTAGTAGTAGTAGTAGTAGTAGTAGTAGTAGTAGTAGTAGTAGCTGCGCCTTAAGGAAGGCTGCGCCTTAAGGAAGGCTGCCTACGTACCCGTGGGAAGGGATCAAGCCACACGTAGTTCCTATTCATTGACCATGCCATAATCTGATCTTATGAATAACCTTCATCAGCAAATCAAGCTAAACCAAAGCAAACTTGACCTTCTTTGGTTAGATCATTATAGAATAAACCCAAGTAAACAACGCAGGAAGAATGAACTTTAAATTTTAACCAAACTTTCCTTTAAACCTTTCCAGTGCCTTGGGTTGATCATGAACTAAATTTAGACAAGAGACTCACGGCAAAACAAATGTTTGGTCTAGTGTGTCTAGCCAAATTCATTAGAACTCCTATGGCACTGAGGTATGGCATTTTCGGACTGAATGGATCACTATCCAATTTGAGGCTTCTCACCACCATTGGGCCTGGTCAATGGGCGGGCCTGGTCCTTATTAAATTTCCTTGAGTACTCTTTCAGTGTATGCCATTTGATGCACAAGGATTCCATTATTCACGTACTCAGGTTGTAATCCCAAACAGAACTTAATTATTGCCTAGGTCTTTCATTTGAGATTCTTTCTTTAGATATACTCAACTGTTTGGGCGATTATCCAGAGGTTTAAATCATTCATATACACTGCTATGATTACAAATCCTTTGTTTGCAAACTTCTTGATAAAAATACATGGACTGATCGGATCGTTTTTATAGCCTTCTCTGATGAGATATTCGCTTAACCGGTTATACCACATACGTCCGCTTTGTTTCAGTCCATATAAGGATTTGTCCAGCCTTATGCAGTGCTGTTCTCGAAAATCTTTCTTATCTTTGAGCTCAATACCCTCTGGTAATCTCATATATTATCCAGTGGACTTATATAAATATGCAGGCATTACATCCATTAGCCGCAAATCTTTCTCTTTTATATAGCCAGACTTAGCAAAGATTTAAATGTCTTAGCATCCACCACAGGGGAGTATATCTCCTCTATTTCTGGTCTTTGTGTGAATCCTTGTGCGACAAGCCGTGTCTGATATATCACGCTTTCACTATGTTTATTTCACACAATCACAAAGACTCATTTGTCCCACTGGCTTTACATTGAATGGTGTCCTTTGTATTGGACCAAACACATTCTTCTTCTTAATGATTCTTAGCTCCACGTTTTATGTCTTGTACCATTTTAATCAATCAGGTCTTTGAGTGCACTCTAGTATAGACGTGGGCTCCTGATCCTCATTCATTTCAGTTGCTACCTTGTGCGCAAATATATTATCATTGATGTCGACATCTTTTTGGTTCCATTGTATTCTAGACATGATATAGTTTATAGAGATCTCTTTACACCTTCAGGACCTTGAGGTTTGGCGTCCCAAACCTCATTGATTGGTACCTTAGGGTTATGTCTATTAGCCGGCCATGTCTATGGTTTCTTGAACCTTCTCGGTTTCCCTTGCACCTTTCTTTGATTTCCGAGGGTTCTTGTCTTTGGAACCTTTTGGGTCTACCACGTTTCTTACGTGTTGTAGCCTCTGTAGCAACTTGATTGTGTTCCTTGTGAACATCAATACGTACTGGTGCATTACAAGCTGGTATGTACGATTTTGTTACTCTCTTTGGGTCATTATAGGAATCTTGGCAACTGTTTTAGCTAGCTTTTGCAGATATATAGTCTTTTGGATCTCTGATGGAGTCCGAGGATCTTGCCATGTGAAGGATGTTTGATTCCATGTAAGTTCTTTGACCAGCTTGTTAGTCTCTCCACCTAGTGTTGGGAAAACGGATTCATTGAGATGACAATCCTTGTATCTGGCCTTTGGCTCGAGATACTTAATGATGGTGGGAGAATCATTGTTAATGTATATTCCCATCCCCTTTTGAGGTCCCATCATTTGCTCTCTGTGGTGGTGCTATGGGTAAATAGGTGACACACCCAAATGTCTTTAGATGGGAAACGTCTGGCTCATGACCCGTTAGCAATTGAGATGGGGAATATCTATGCTCACTAGATGGCCGAATGTGTATTAGTTCAACAGCGTGTAAAACTGCATGTCCCCAAGCTGAGACCGGAAGCTGTAACCTCATGAATAATGGTCGAGCAATTAGTTGAATTCGTTTAATGAGGGATTCAGCTAATCCGTTCTGTGTATGGAGATGTGCCACAGGATGTTCCACACTTACCCCCATGGCCATACAATAGTCATTAAATGCTTGGGAAGTGAATTCACCAGCATTATCTAAACGTATGGTCTTAAGAGGAAAATCTGGAAAATGGGCTCGCAATCTGATGATTTGGGCCAATAACCTAACAAACGCTTGGTTCCTAGAAGACAATAGGCAAACATGCGACCAGCGGGTCGATGCATCGATTAAAACCATGAAGTACCGAAATATTCCACAAGGTGGATGGATCGGACCACATATGTCTCCTTGAATTCGTTCCAGAAAATGTAAGGTCTCTTTAGACACTTTGACTGGTGAAGGTCGAGTGATAAGCTTCCCTTGTGAACAGGCTATGCACGTGTGGTGCTTAGGGAAAACTCGGTTTTCTTTAAGGGTGTGCCCTTTAGAACTTTGAATTAATTTACGCATCATATTCGAACCGGGCTTGCCAAGCCGGTCATGCCATTAGTGAATCTCTCAGTAAACCCTTATTTGTTTACTTTATTAGCCTTTATCATATTGACCTTGGCATAGTAAAGATATATGACGCAGGTATAGTCTGTAAGACCTTCTCATGGTCTTGGATGCTCTTAGTAATATATGGGAATCCTTTGTTCCCTTCACCCTTAGTTTCAATGTGGAAACTATTCAAACACATTTCTTTGAAACTCAACAAACCCCTTTGAGCTGGGTGAATATGAGGCATCTGAGTATGCGTGCCCTTGGGAATATGGGCCTGCCATGGGCCTACCCTTAGCCTTCACTAAATTTAGCTATACCCGCAATTTGGCTAATGAACCATGTCTTTAGATATTTCGTTTATTGAATTCTCATAATCATCTATCTCATGGTCGAAATCTTCTTCACCATCGTGATGAACTAAATGAGCTTCTTGATTCTTTTCAAACTCTCTTGATAGAGATCAACGAGATGCTTAGGTGTCATGCACGTCTTAGTCTAATGGTTTCCCCATTCCTCATCAGTGGCAAACAAGTTTATTTGAGTGTTGTGGTTTGGGTATACCACGGCCTCTAACTCGATTACGACCAAAGTCGGGTCGGCGGCCTTAACCATATGAATTTTTCCTTGATCATATAAATTATAATTGCCACTTCTACCATGGCCATTCCATTTACCATGACTGTGGCCATGATACTTATCTCTTTGTACGTGGTTAGACTCTTTAGTCTTTTTAGGCTCTTTAGGCTCTTCAGCCCAATGGGCTTCTGATAATGGGGTAGGACCAGGAGGTCTCATTTCACTATTTATAACTCATTGTTTTGCTCAGCAAGTAGCAAAACAAGAGTTTAGAGTTTGTGAACTGTTCATCTTATTAATAGAATAAGAGATATATATACAAGAACAATAGCAGGATACAGAGAATAAGGTAAAACCCTAATGGGCCATGGGCCGGTTATGGAGTCCATCCATATGGTTTATAACAATAATCTAATTATGGTGCAAAATTTTTAGGGAATGAGGTAAGTGGTAAACATGTCAACATGCATTGCGTGGACAATGGACTGGAATTAAATGTGATGGAATCTATAAAGATCAAGTAGAGCATCGAGTTAGGTCTAAGGTAACTGAAGTCCTAAAGTCGACGTTAAACTAATTTTTGCTTAAGGAATATACATATATATTGAATTTACAAGTTACAACATATGCTAGTCTTTTGATCATATATTTGTGTATATATGATCATTTATGCTAGTCATTTCGTGTTTCTTGCTTGAAGTCTTTCTAAGCATTGTTTCAAGCGTCTCGGAACATGATACTTGCATTTTGAATCAATTTGAGCAGTTTTTTGGTGGTTTTGATGGTGATCCCACGAATGTACCAAGAAAGCGGTGGTATATTAAGAAGAAAATAAGGTTGGAAGTATTGGTCCATTGTCACTTTCGATGCAACTTTTCCTTGTCCGCCACTACATCTTTTGTATTCTTCTCGACTCTTCGGCTCTCTGTCCTTGCACAAGCGTTCTGAATCTACGTACAGTGACTCTATTTTCCATTTACCCTCAAAAACTTTCATGAACATCATTTTCTTTTTCTTATATTTTGCCTATCCATAAGCAAGAGAAACCTAAGTTAAGTTTCCCTAGTATGAAACAAAAATTATTGATTATTGTGAAGGGATATAGGGAAGCTGCTTACTCTAAAATCTTTTTGGTTTTCATCAACAATTAGAGTAAACGGAAAAGCTCCACACCACCAAAGAAAGTCCCAGGTCACAGCTTTCTCCAACCGCGCGATCTGCCTCGGTCCATCCTTCATCAAAACCTTTCTTGATTTGTTTTCCTTCATCAGAAAAAATATCACACTCTCAAATATTTCTATTATTAATACCACATTTGAATCATAAAATGTTTAGAGAAAAACCAAAAGTTCGCGCCCAGTCTCATTATCAATCCTGAAGAATGGAAAGTCGTTTGGATTAGCGAACAAATCGTAGACTCCTTCAGGAGGCAATCCTACTGTCAATTCTATGTGCATGTGGCAAAGACCCTTCTTTGTTGTCACCTTTAAACATCAAAATATAAGAAATCATTCAGATTTTTGTTTTTCTTAATTCCTTTTAAGAAAATAAAATCTTAAGTCTTACCTTCACTTTAGCAGGAGCATCATACCATGGTTTCTTCTTCTCTGCAGCTCTCCAAAGTTTTCCTTGCTTCTTAGCCTCAGCTTTGTCATAATAAAATTCCTGTTTATTAGTATCTTTCTCTGACACTGAATTAGAGTCGACATTCTCAGATCTCTTGGACTCATCCTACAACAACAAACAGAACCATAATCTATCTTCTATAGTAATTTATATCGATATGACTTTCTCTGGTTCTATAAATGATGAAAATGAAACTAACCTGAACAGGCTGTTGTTGCAGGTTCTGGTTGATCCAGCCAACAAATCTTGGAAATACATTCATTTCTCTTTGAAAGTTAAGTCCAAACAATAATTACCTGATGAAAGAAAGAGAAAATGACGATCTAAAGCTCGTATACGGTATGCTTTGAGGAGTCTTACATAAAAGGTTGATGCAGAGTTAACCAATTTTCAAAATGAAAATGAGAGAATAGTAGTGTACGTTAGGTTTTGCTTACCAAAGAACAGAGAAATGGGCAGCTCAATTCTCATGAGTTCTTAACGTACAGGTGAGAGCTACATCAAGTAAGAGGAGACCAAAGTTATTATCTGCTTGTTTTACCTGTCCCTAAATTCTCAATTTGATTTCTTTAGACAGGTCAAGCAAAAATTGTATAGAAGGATGCAGTTTCTATATGATTTTGCAAAGGTAATTTTATACATGCAAAAGATTCGTTTATACAACTTTGTGAAACTTGTAAAATAGCTCTCTAATGGTTTTTAGCTGTTCACTGAAACTTTATATTCGTGTATCTGATTTAGATGAATGAACAGTGTAAAAGAATGGATAATGGTGATTTAGATCCACCAAAGTAAAAAAAAAAAAACAAAAAACAATATATGGAATGTTCACAAAAGGGGTGCCTCTCCTTCAAGATGGAGCACAAAGCAATTCTGCCGGTAAGGATCAGTGCACCTCGTCAAGCGGTTGATCTGTCCTTCTAGCTGCAACCAAATTATGAATGGTCATGATGATCTAATAGAAGAAGGAGAAGATGTGTGTGAGTGTGGCCATCTTTTACATACCTTAGCATTTTCTGTTTTTTGTTTCTCAACCTCCTCTTCAAGCTTATTAACGCTGTAGCATTTGAAACCATTGAAACAATCAAGCATTTTTTTCACCTTTGTTCTTTAAGAGATTTAAAGCTTGTGGGGTTTATCATTACCTCTGCTGCAAAACGTGAACCTCAGACAATAGATCCGTCTCCGGTGTTGATATCTGTGAATTCAGAACTTTTGGCTCTTAGTTCCTGGCCTCACAACGTCCTCTCTATGCATATGTCATTAGGAAGTTATGAGAAGCAAACCCAACCTGCCCGCCTTCTGTATTGACAACTGGAATTCTGATTTCTGTATTGATCAGATCATGAAACTTGTAAGATCAGGTCACGGAACTTGTAACACAGAGAAGATGCAAAATCTGCCGACAGAACAGCAAACTTACCAGCAGTTGGATCATAGAGTTGCATTAAACTGATTACCCTTTCCTGCCAAGCAAATAAAAATAGTGTGAAACTACCAGAAGATGGAAATCCAAACGACATTTATGAGTGAAATATCAACAAGAAGCGTTTTTAAATGGCAATAACCCTTTGGATATCATTCTGGATCAGGAGATTCTGTAACATTGGGAGGATTTGAGCAGCATTGCAAGAAACAGGGTTCACAGGACTAGCAGGTTTCCCAGAGGTCAGCAGCCCTTCAATGGTTACCTGTATATCAGAAGGATTGAGGATTGCAATAAGATCATGGAAAGTTATTTTCCACTAATCCAGATTACCGGGTCATAGATATAAACTAACAATAACTGGGTTGATTATCGTTTGTTACACTAAAATGGTTATAAACAAAAGTTATCTTTGTATGTCCAGACGTATACCTGAGATAATTTCTCACTGTTACCATCTATACGCTTAACCAACTTGGCCTCTTCCTCCTGAAGTGTTGCCAAGGTTCAATCACAGTCAAAAACATGAATGGTAGTAATGATAATATCAACAGAGAAGGAAACTCTTCAACTAACCTTCAGCTTTCTAAAACGCTCACCAAGCGGGTAGAGGCTATCAAGAATCGTACTAGCCAAGTATTCAGTAGAAAGAGTATGCTGTAAGAATGGATATTCCAGTAGTTTTGAAGCGGTCGGACGTTTTTCTAAATCTTTTATCAAGCAAGCTGCGACCAACTCTCTAAAAGACTGCAATAATATATAGTATCTTTCTTAATGAGTGAGATAAAATCTACATTTCTCAGGTGTGATCATTCAAGTCCACTGACCTTAGAGAATTTATTATCTTCTTCATAGACAGGACAAGGAGAATTTTGTAAGGTCAATGGTGGCGCCTGAAACAATCATGAAAAACAGAGCACTCTAGTAAAAGAAACTAGAGTAGGAATCAGGGAAAACAATAAAACAGACTGGACAGAAAGGATAAAAAAGCAGTGCATGTTTATCTTGTACGGTAAGACTCACCACCGTATGTGGATATTTTGAAAATGGGGAATGACCATGGGCAAGTTCCAGGGCAGTCATGCCAAACGACCAGATATCCAATCTAGTAAGTTAAATATAAAACTAATAAGTCCTAGACAAGTTACTCCTTTGAGATGGCAGTACAGGTACACTAAAAAACAGCAGACATACTTGAAACCATAGCCATCAACTTGCTGCGTATCCTCCTCAGGTGCGATCCTAGAAAGAGCAAAGATATCCTCAAGCTAAAGAAAACAGCCTAGAACTTAGCAAGTCTATAGCACGCACCAGCATGGAGTTCCAACAAAAGTATTCCCAGAACTAGTAGGCATCCTTTCCACACCAAGCTTAACAGTTCCTTCTGAGTCTACCAGTATATTCCCGGCCTAGAAAGAAGGATACATTGTGCTATCAAAACATGATGGAGAACGAAGTACATAACTTGGATTAGGACTAAAGTACCTTAACATTTCCATGGATGTATCCTAGTCCATGAAGGTAAACAAGAGCTTTTAGAATCTCCCGCAAAAATATAGCAACTACAGGCTCCTCAAGACCATTTGGATAGACTGATTTCATTATGTTCAAGCAGGAGCCACACGACATGTAAGGCATCACAATCCACAAGCTGGTACCATCTATGAAAGAGCAATGCGACCTCAATAGATTTGGATGATCAATTGAGCTCAATCTATGAACTTCTTTCTTTATGGTTTCCTGAATTTACCTCCAACAACAGACTAAATATCAATTTCCGATGATAAATCCTAAATATGAACAAATAAGAACAAAGATGAAGATACGAACCAAATCTTTAGTGCATTTTTCAAGGTTCCAAATCTTGATGGCCACAATCTCATCAAGTAAAATGCATCGAGCTCTGTAAACACCATCGCCAATCCTCTCTAAAAGCTCGTAATCTTTCGCATCCAGAGGAAATTTTGTTCCCGATGAGCTCGTCATATTGCCTGATTCATGCGGAAAATCAATGAGACGAGAACGAAATTGATAGTTTCTCCGATCAAAAACCATACGCAATTTCATATACAGTAACGCATTGAAGTAACGGAAATGCTTAATCCAATTCCAACAAACGAAAATCCGAACTCTTAAGTAACAAATCGGAGAAAGAACCAAACACGATTTGAGCGAGAAATACGAGCCGGAGATTACGTACGAGGCGGAGAAAAAAACTGAAGCATGAGAGAGTAACGGAGGAGGCTACGAAGGAGACGTAGAAGAAGCGGTGGTGGAGAAAAATTCCGTTGACAAATCGCTGGAGAATTCGATTTTTCTTGGACTTGTGGAAGTGAAAGATTCGGAAACTTTGGAGACTGAAAAAACTGTTAAGTCTTCTGATTTCACATTTATATATTAGCTGACGAATTTTACAATAACATTAGCTTATAAAACTGAAATTTGGTAATGCTAAATATCAATTTAATTGGATATTTGTACAGTAGTTTTTGGAATCTGTTAAATTAAGGTCCAAAATTACCAGAAGGATATAGTTTAAATAATAAAATTACAAAATAATTGAACATATATACTGTTTTTTTAGGAGGTATGTGACACGTGATTTGTTCATTTATAAAAAATATATACTTTTTAAGATATTCGTAATTTAAATGCTTTTGACAAATAAAATTTCTATTCCATTATCCTTAAACTTTTTATTTCTCTTGTATATGAATTAGTAGATGCTTGGCTTCTTCTCGAACAATTCTTGGGTTCACCCTTGGGGGTGAACCCATGTATTCACCCCCTTTGATTTTAGCCAATCAAATTGTCATGTCATATAACACTTAATTAGATATTAAAAAAATAAACAAACAAATAAAATAAATTAAAAAACTAAAATCATCAACAATAGGATCTGTTTAATAAATTAAATAAAATCAAATCAAATAAAAACAATTATATATGTTGATATGTCTCCGATCCTGGTAAAAGCCCAAGACATTGCATGTTGTATGAGATGCCGTGAAGAAGACTCAGCTTTGTTAATAATTGAAGTATATTGTTAGGGTTTTACAATTACCAGCTTTTAGATCGATTGCCCCTCTCTCAAGTATTCGATTACTTGCAGAGAAGAGAAATCGTGTCACTTTATTGCCATACAATTTTCGTTTTATTAAAAAAGCCATAAACATATTCATAAAGAAGAATGAAATTTTTTTTGACAAGAATTATATAGAATTATGAAGGTTCTAATACCAAGTTAATGCTCACTTATCCATCAAGTTCACGTAACAATGGCCACGAAATCAAAAACCTAAAAGGAGAAGAGGAGGACTCTGTTAATTTGTTTTCTCAACAACAACTCCGTTAATTAAACTGATCCTATTGTTAATGATTTTATTTTTTAATTTATTTTATTTGTTTGTTTATTTTTTAATATCTAATTAAGTGTTATATGACATGGCAAATTGATTGACTAAAATCAAAGGGGGTGAATAGGGGTGAACCCAAAAATTGTTCTTCTCTTAATCATTTTCGTATTCTAGGCTTCTCAAGAGAAACAACAAACATAAAATTTCTATGTCGGGTGAGAAAACGATGCCGAATGCTTCGGATGAAAGTTTGACGAAAAAAACTAAAATTTTTGGAGTAAATGTTGCGTCCACAAGATCAACCATGCTTAAGTTTGCAATCATATCGATTTATGGCGTTTCAAGAGGATGGGATAGTGTGATTGCATAAAAAGAAGAAATGAGTTTCAGCTATTTTCTACTCAGATATTTTGTGTTCTTGTCAGCCCCGGCTTAGAAGGGTAGGGCGGAGGTGCGACGGTCCGGAGCTTTTTTTTTTCAAAAAAAAATTTACATGTAAAAAAGGCCCAAATATTTTCTAAAAATATTATTAATATGACAATTCTATTTTAAAAGGCCTAATTTTTTATAAGAAAATGTATAAAAAGGCCCAAAAATTTTAAAATAACAATTTTTACAATAAAAAATACGTAAATTTTTCAAAAAATTAAGTAAATTTTCTCATTATATATAATAATAGGCCAAAAAAAATTTTTTAGCCCTAAGGCTTCCAAATATATTGGGCCGGGGCTGGTTCTTGTTAATGTATGTTTACGTTTAAATTGGTTTGTTGTTTTGGTCCCTCGATCCACATCCACCACACACTACGTTTAAAGGCCGACAAATCGTTCTCGCCATCATTTCATTAATGGTGAGCGTGTCTATGTTTTATCACCATGTTACACAGGGCAGAGATGGGATTTTATCACCATGTTGGGTTTATCTTTTTTTCTATTGTAAGCTGATCGTTGGTAATTGTACGCATTGTTAGCCGGTGTTGTTTATCCTTGACTTCATCTTTTGCTTCTGCTTACTTTCATGACTAACATCAGTTGTTTCTAACGGACCGAGATACGTGGTCAAGGCTTCGAGCCTTCGAGGAGAGCACGACTTGGTACATCCCTCTTTCTAGCATAGGTGCTTCATCTCACAAGGATACGTTATCTTTAGGAAGCTGAACGAGTTTCCACAAAAGGTAAGAGTATAAGAAAGGCTTAGAATGTGTTTGTTGCATTTCTTGGGTCTACTTAACAAAACTTTGCCGCACTACGTCATTGGACAATTACACGCGATTTAATATAGTAGTAGTGACTTAGCATCAGGTGGCTAAGATTTAATCTCAATTGCTAAAGTGAAAGTATTTAATCGTAGCCGTTGGTTTTAAGGTTTCATAGTTTGTGGATTACTTATTTTGTTTCTTCGATTAAATACCGTGATTAGTTCAAATCACATTTATTCAGATCACATGAATAGGCAGTTTAGATAGCCTTAGACAAATCGATTGATTTTTTTTTTTTAATAGCAATAGTTAAATCTGAATATTTCATTAGCCAAATGTTGTGGTAGTCAAATGTTGTGAACTAATCAATCCGCATCATCAAGTGGAATCGTGGATATAATATAATAAATGTGTGAATACTTTTCTAGTTTTCTTTATCTTATTTGATTATAACATTCAGATGGTTGTGACATTTTAAAATGAAACATCACTGGTGTCTATATTCTCTTCTAATTTTCCTCTCCACCACGAAATATAATAGTTCCAAATTTGGCAACAAAGCGTAGGTATTAGTATTACCTTCATATTTGTGATATCTTCCACTGCATTTCTTTATTTTTTGAGATAGGAGTTATTACTAATGATGTTTCACAATATTATTTTAATCAAAATAATAATTAAATTTAGGAAATTATTTCCATTAATAATGTTTTTGAAGCCATGTTTATCTGACTTAAAAAAATGAAAGAACAATGACTTAATCAAAAATAGTGACTTTAGAAACTTTTTTAGAAAAAAAGAAGTAAAAATCTGACTGGCAAAAATTTGGATTTTAATTTTTCTAAAAAAGTAAAAATCTTTAAGTTTCAACCAATCACCTCCTTGTTAAACAAAATTTTTGTTTGTTGTATATCTAAAATCATAAATCGATAAATATCACAAAAAGAACTATCTTTGATCAGTATCTCTGGCATATGTTAGGTCAACAACTAAACATTTACTTTGTAGCATTTTTTGTTTAAAGAACCACCTTCTTTTTTTGTTTAAATAGATGTTTAAAAAAATATTTGTAGCGTTTTTTTTATAGAAGTCTTCAACAATATTCGACGACAATAAAGAAAGTCATAAACATTTAGCTGTAACGTCCAAAAATCACCAACCCATAAAGAAATTTGGAGAGCCAAATTATATTTGTGCTAACTAAATTTCAATATCGGTAAGCTTAGCTCAGAGAACATAATTGTGTTGGTACATACAATTAATCTTACCAAATACAAAATTGATTGACCAAATTAGAAGTGTTAAACATGTGGACCAAATTCGTTGAATAATAAAGAAATTAGAAAGCTTTTGACATTTTATAAAATTTGTTAATAAGCATGTGGGAGAGAGAGACTGACTAGTGACTAGTCTTATTAATTTTGTTTAATCACGTGGACTAAAACTTAGTTATGTAAATTATCACGAATTAACGGAACCGTTAATTCCACGCGTAAGTCAAAGGTATTCCACCGTTAGTTTTGACTTTCTAACGACGGCTTGAATTGGTCAACGTCACACCCTTCGCGCGTGAACTAACTAACGCATCGTTGGGTCAGCTTCAGACGGAACAAAACCGTGATCTTCACAAAATCCTTACATTACCGATATGACACGTGGATCTCAAGAAACGCTTCCACGTCACACCACCTGTCAGTCCCGTTTTTGCTTTCCCAACAAGTTTTTGATACTGAAAATTACGGATTTACCCTTATATTTAGCAACGCTGACACGTAGACGACAATCACAGAAGCAGCAGCCCACCCACTATTTCCTCAGCCCATCACGCGCTTTTACTTGTAAAGTTAATAACAACAAAAAGAGAAATTCATTTTAATCCAAAATATCTTTGTCTGTTTTTGTTGATAATTTCTGATATATCAGCCAATATATAATTCTGCTTCAGTTTTACCAATTTTATACTAATGACATCTGGTGAAAATAGAGAAAATGTCATTGAGGAAATGGAAATAAAATATGAATTTATTTTTTTTATGAAATTAAGATTATAGTTTAAGCCCATTTCATAAATAAGACGTGTCTAGTCTGCCTGATATCAACAAATTTGATTAAAAGAATTCTACCAATTTTGATAGTATTTTGTTCTCTCCCTAAATAATTCTCTTAATTTTGCCAAATATTATTGATTTTCTGCATATTATTTAAGAGAAAAATATGTGATTGGCCCAATTAAAAAGAAACATAAAATGTTTTTTTTTAAAAGAAACGTATTGTTCACACTTGGTGACTTATCTTCATGAAGCACCAACCATATAAATTGGTCAGGTCTTTATTAAAAAAATTAAATCATCTTCCTCACTTCCAATTTCATTTCTTTGAGCCGTCGTTTCAGATTTCTTCTTCTTAGAGAGAGTCAAGAGTAACGGTGAGGTTTGGCTCTAATCAATCAACGATGGAGGTTGCTTTTCCGTCTTCACCGCCGGCGAAATGCATCGGTGATGACCGATTAACCGAAATTTCCATAGATTTCACCAAATTAGGATTCCCAGAAGAAGAAGAAATTAACAAATTGGAAAGATCGTGGAGTAAACTCGAAGAATCCGTCGAGTTTAACGAAGACGAAGACGATGAAGAAGATGAAGAAGAAGAAGAGTTTTCGTTTGCTTGTGTAAACGGAGAAGGATCTCCAATAACAGCTGATGAAGCTTTCGAAGATGGTCAGATCCGTCCTGTGTTTCCTCTGTTTAACCGTGATCTTCTCTTCGATTACGAAAACGACGATGACAAAAGCGACGACGTTTCGGTCACTGACGAGAACAGACCACGTCTTCGAAAATTATTTGTTGAGGATCGTAACGGTGACGGTGACGGAGAGGAGACGGAGGATTCTGAGAAAGAACCGTTAGGACCGTATTGTTCTTGGTCAGGTGGAACTGTTGCGGAAGCGTCGCCGGAGACTTGCCGGAAAAGTAACTCGACGGGATTTTCTAAGCTTTGGAGATTTAGAGATCTTGTTTTGAGAAGTAATAGTGATGGAAGAGACGCGTTTGTTTTCTTGAATAATAATAACAACGTCGGTGACAAGACTCGGACTCGGTCTTCTTCGTCGTCGTCTACGGCGGCGGCGGAGAATGAGAAGAAGGTAATAATAACAGAGAAGAAAAAGGGGAAGGAGAAAACGACGACGACGGAGACGAAGAAAAAGACGATGACGAAATCGGCGCATGAGAAGCTTTACATGAGAAACAGAGCGATGAAGGAAGAAGTGAAACACAGATCGTATCTTCCGTACAAACAAGTTGGGTTCTTCACTAATGTGAATGGTCTTAGCAGAAATATTCATCCTTTCTGACCAAAAAAAAAAAACTAAGTTTGGTTTTTGGGTGATTTTTTTTTTTTTTTTTTGGGTTATATAAAAAAAGTTAATTTAGTACTCTTCGTATGGGTGACTACTGTTTGGTAGATTTGGATTTTAAATGATAGCAGAAAGGTGTACTGTTTTTTTTTTCACTATTTTCTGGTGTTTATGTGAAGAGCTTGGCTTGTGTACTAAACCATTTTGTAAAGTAAAAAAAAAATAATATCAATTGGTTAGATTTGATTAAGTTGTTTTTAGGGGGAACACCAACCATATAATGTACATATATTTATTTATTGAATGATTTTGCAAAAGAAACACTGATATCAACTGGTACATTAGCTAAGTGATAGATCTCATAAAGTATAACCGAACAATTTGTCTTTTTGACTATGTTGAAGCCGAAACAAGGGAACAATGTGAAGAATCTTTCTTTTTCTTTCTTTCATAAATCCAAAACCAATGATCAATGAAACGCCCTATTTATACTACTACTAGTGATGAATTTTCAAACCTTCCAAGAGGCTGGTATGATAAGAGGCTAAGAGTTTGGAACAAAACCTCCAAGTCAAAGAACATCGACAACAAAGAAAACACAAACGAAAGACAAAGCCCAACAACTAAAAATAAACGAGAGAGAGCCCAATATGAGATAGTATAGAAGTGGGGTGATATAATTGTAGCGGCTGATATTTTTATCGGAATGTGGGTGGATCTATAGTTATAGTTGATTGTCATGTAGTAAGAAAATGCAATAGCATGTCACTTATGGAAGAGATCAAAAGTTCGATTCTGTTCTGCCAATACATAATTATATTTTTAAATGGTTTAAGCAAAACGATGGGTAGTTCAAAGGTTTTTGTATTGCATTTTTACTTACAAAAAAAAAAAAAAAACAATTGAAGATGTTTTGTTTTAGTTTGACAACTAAAGAAGTTTCGAAAATACCAAAGTTGTTTGGAGAGAGCACAATGGATGACGACATCTAAAAGATATTCACTCGCACTAATAAATAACTCATCGGTTGGATTGACAAAGATATCAGAAACTGTATAGTTTGGTTCTCTTTTGGCTTACTTAGTTTCTTTTTTATTCCCTTCAAATAGAATACTACAACCTACAAGAACGACGAAATAACATACCCTCTTCTTCTTGAGCTTGGTTCTCTTTTTGTTAGGAGATCTCGGAGATTACGAGATCGACTTGAAAGAAAAGTTAACATTTGTATAATATATTCTTATTGTTACATAGGTAGATTTCTTATTATCAAAAATGTAAAGAACTCGCTAATCAAGTTATGATCCTTATATAAATAAGTTTATTGACTAATGAATAAATTGAGAGAAACTATTCTACTACTAAGGTTTCCTCCAAATTTATCACTTTTGGCTTACTTAGTCTCTTTCTTTCTTTTATTCCCTTCCCACTTGGATTTTAAATAAACTTATTATTTTCTATCAATAAATTTCACATTTCATCAAAGAAGAAAATTATCAAAGTTGTTTTTGGAAATTAGCAAAAAAAAGAAAAGAAAATAAAAAGTTTTAATCGTCCTTTGTGGCATGCAAAAAGAAAATTTTGTTTTTCCTTTTGACTTCAAATTGTTCTTGAATCCTCTTTTTGTAATTGACTTATTGTTGTGAATCTTTAAAGATAACATAATCATGTCTTTATTCATTTAAGTGGTCACACTAAAAATATATATTTAACTATATCAGAAACAATCATGTATAGGCAATTATGTTAGAAAAGTATTTTTGTTGTTTATAAGTTGAAAATTAGAATGATAAAGATATAGACAATTATAAATGAATAAATAATGTTTTCTTTTTATAATTGTTTTCTTATTAGAAAATTACAATAATAAATTAAAAAGAATTAAAAATTAGAAATTGGAGTCAATTTAAACATGATGAATAACTATTTTCTTATTATAATTGTTTATTGTCTTAAATATAGAAATCTAGAAAATGTATACTTTTTCTTATATAGCTTAAATAAAGTTGTATATTTTGGAAAAGATAAAATTTGAATAAGTTTATCATTCTATCTTTCAAGTTATTATCAAAAAGGTTATTGTCTAATACATTCACCTATATTCAAAAGCAAAACAACTATCTCTAATATGATTATTTATTTTCGATAATTTTATGTTCGTTATGGCATATCAATTCATATTGTAATGTAATTACCTATTTCTATATATATAGAAACGTGATTCTATTATGTCACATTATAGATAGTTGACAACTTTTTTGTAAGCAAAAGGAAAAATGATGAAATTGTAGTTTTCTTAATGGTGTTAAATTGACTATATATGTTAAAAACTTAATTAATTGGATTTTTCTATATCATACTTACTTAAATTTGATACCGAGATATGTTATTTTTGCCAATTTTCCATCAATAAACTATGATTTCTTCTTATGTATGTGGATATATAATCTATCAACTGGAAGTCTTTGATAGTTGCAGTTGTATAACAGTTGTATAACGCGTAATTTTCTTTTGTGACATGTTATTTTTTCTATGTGAACATCTAATATTAAATGGACTAAACATATACGATCCATTAATTTTTTAGGTTTAATAGTATATTTAGCTTACTTGTAGAAAGAAATTCAATAATTTAACACTGATGTACTGGTTAATTGAACTAGAAAGTGGGAACAGAAGAAAAACGAAACATATGCGAAGGAGAGAAAGAGTCACATTTCATTCATCAGAGACAGGTTGGAAGTAATAATTGGTAAAACAAGAAGTGCTTAAAAAATGTTCAAAACTTAAAAAATGTTCGGGCTCGCTTGGGTAAAGTAGAAACGGAAGCGGATCAGTTTCATAGAAGTATTCATTTGTACACACATATACAAGTATTCCATTGTCAATGGAGTATTTTTATCCAATGAACAAAACGGTTAAGATTTAAGAACATGTTATGGATAATGTACCGCTATCATTTAACTGTTGTGAGATCCAAGATAAAATTTTCATGTCATGTTTTTAGTCATGTGGACATCATCTAATTTATCAATTGGTTTTCTTTGAACATTTTTAATACTATCATTAACTACTGTGAAACACATGATATTTGTGAGTACATCATGTATATAGCAAAAAAAAAAGAAATTATTTAGGTACATGATAATTGTCGGAGTTGTTTTGAAAAAAAAAAAAAAAAAAGGAACAATTAAAAAGGTATGTGAAAAACAAGTTACTTACAAAAAAAAAAACTCTTTCAATAATTGGCGTAGTATTCTCGTACTTGGTTAACCCAAGATTTAATGCGATAATAGAGTAATAGACTAATAGTTATATAGAATAATAATCCAGACACAAATACTAAAGAAACATAAATGTATTGGATAAAATAGATGCATGCCTACATAGAAAAATAGTATATGATACATGAAACAAAATCCTATGTTTTATAACAGTTAAATTATACTATAAGAAAACCATATAAAGACTCTATTTGTAAAATTTTAATCCACCTAGAAAAACATGCTATAGAAATGTTTCTCGCAATAGGTAAAAAGAATTGAGGTAAATGAGTCCAAACTGCTCAAAATATACATTTGTTCACTTGGGCAAACATATATTGTTATTTGTTTAATTGTTCTCCATAATTTTGTCATTTGGTTTAATGATTTTTTTTTTGTCATTTGTCACATTGTCAGGTATTTGAAAGCGAACACGAGGAAAAAAAGAAAGAAGCAAAAGTGAAGGAGAGAAGGCATCACATGTGATTTATGCATGTAGAAACATTTTTACCTGGGTAATCTTGTTATAAGAACATTCATCTCTCTTAGTATCAATCATAGAGAACCAATAAGAATTTAGAAATACGAGCATCGAATAATTATTTGGTTTTTTAAGTTTTGAAAATTTCCACTAGCTACTTTCTCCAACAAAAACAAAAGTTAAAAGAAGAAGAACAACAAAATAATTGCCTCGTTGACAAAATAATTGAACAATGATATGCATCTTTCTTCACGAACTTGAGAATATAAACATGGAAATTGGATCGTTGACATTTGATGCACGTTCTTGCACGTTACGTTTTGTGATAGTTTGGCGCAGACAAGATTCCACGATTACTGAGATGCAAGCGAAACAAAAAGAAGATGGTAAAACCATATGCTATATAAAGGCATCCACAGGTATTGTAGAATGACAAAACAAAACAAAAAACAAAACCAACGCAGTGAGGCGTTGGACAAGCAATCAAAATAAGAATGATATCTTCTCCCAGGATGGGGCGTTCTTCCCATCTTGTTTATGCTCTTGGTTTTATTATCATGGCCACAATGGTTGCTGCGTCCTATGAGCCCTACACGTATAGCTCTCCCCCACCACCGGTCTACGACTCTCCTGCACCAAAGGTTGACTATAAGTCTCCACCACCTCCTTATGTTTACAGTTCACCATCACCTCCACCATCATATTCGCCATCTCCAAAAGTAGATTACACATCTCCACCACCTCCTTACGTTTACAACTCTCCACCTCCACCGCCATACTATTCACCGTCTCCTAAAGTGGACTACAAATCTCCACCACCCCCTTACGTGTACAGTTCACCTCCACCACCACCATACTACTCACCTTCCCCTAAGGTGGACTACAAATCTCCACCACCACCTTACGTCTATAATTCTCCACCACCACCACCATACTATCACCT